AGGCACCATCCGATGTCAATTATGTATGTAGTTCATAACTTTACCAAAATGTGAACTTATTTCTTAATCAACTACTTAATTTATACGTATAAACGTAACGTTTAGTAATACCATCTTATTCCGACCAGATTTAGCTGTTAACTCAATACTCAAGAGGTGTAATTATTCACAAAGGACGCATCACTTGCAAGTTGAAATCCTCCTAATATTACATTTTTTTCGTTTATTGACACATACGAACAATAGCGCACAACAAGGAACCACAGTGTTCCCGATAACGATGATGTGTCGTCAAGGTAGTTAAAAAAAACTCCATACGTTTAAGGAAACGTAGGACGGTGAAAATTTATGAAAGATAGGCTTCCTCTATCCATATGAAACTTGACATGATAAACGGCGTGCGGAAAATTTTGTCATTATCTGCTTTGACAGTGTACTTGTCACTTCTTGAAATCTCAGCAAGAAAATTTTTTTCTCAAACAAGCGTTGTCTGATTGAGTTTTCCTTGACAGCCACGTTTATTCGAAGTCCGTAACCCACATTACGTGCAAACGACCAAACTCTATTTTAAATGCTAATGAACTATTGTAATTTTCAAAAAAAACTTTTACGGCGCCTTGGACCCCCACCCACAGAGGTTGGGTATGATATGAACCGCAAGTCAATCAACCTTGTCGTTTTAATTTACCGCACGAAAGAGCTGCCTTCATGTTACTTTTACCGTTGAAAATATCAGAAATAAAGAAAGTCAAGCAAAAGCAAGTTATGGTAGGGCTTGTAAACGTAAACGAAGTTAAAGAGAATTGCAAACATGTTAGAAGCGGTACTGCAGCTCGGAAAAATTAACAACATTCAAAAACATATTTCCGTGATAACGGGCTTGGTCGTTAGAGTGATCGTTTGTTTTCAATTTTCCTCATCTTTCAGGCCTAAATCTGGAAATTTTTTTCCTTAAGGCGATCTTCCACGTTGTTTACCTTTTCGGTTAAGATATTTCACGATTGAGCCAGTGATGTTGGGTCATTTTGAAATGTTCCTCCATGACCTCTTGTAAAACTAGTTTGAGGGCATGGTTTCGTTGCTCGACGACGCTGCATTAACAATCATATTGAAAACAAAACAATGAAAAGAAACTGGTATTCTCTAAAAGCGTACTTGAATCATTCAAGTGAAGAATCCATTAAGAATGAAAGCACTTAACAGCTATTTTTTTCCAGATAGTAACACAGTAGCCTTCACTCGCATAAAACTACACGATAAACGTATCGTGTCGGGATTTTTGTACCCCCCCCCAAATTATGTAATTTTTTTTAAATATAACTACTCACTCTCTCTTGCCTGGGCAGAATTGTCAAGCAGCACTCCTAAGGATTTTAAAATGAAAGTACTCTAACAAATGGTACTTTTTTTAATGATCCCGCATGCTTTCCGAGACGGAACTTGGAAACTTTTTCTTTTTTCCTAAAAACGAATTGCTGGCTGTTTGGTACCCTGAGAAAAGCGCAGAGATGCTTTTGAAACTCCTGTGTTTCACCTGCTCTTCAACACCGACTTTATTTCTAAACCCATTCTCATTGCTTTTAATAGAAAAACATACTATTCAGTTCTGAAGAGGTAAACCAAGCGTTTACTCGTCAAATGCATGGTGTTACAAACTAGGTTGTCTCTCAGCAGTCTTGCCCCTAGTAGTTGGAGAAGGATCCGTAAAAGGATAAACAACCTCAAGTATTTCAAATGTTTTTCTTTAAAGTGATTTCCCATGCTTTCTAGAGCACTGGACCAAATTGGTTTCATAAGACCCATTCCAAGTCACTGGAAATAAAGAAGCTCTTAAAGACAGGATAATTAAAGGCGTAAATAGTTGTTTATGTTTTTCCCTTTCACTTCAGCCTACATTTTTCACAGACAAGCGAGCTGAACGGAAAATGTTTGGCAAGAGTAATTGTTTGCAATAGCTTCCAGTCATCATGGTTACTATGACGACGATCCACTTCCCAATGTTTTTAGCATTCACTGCTAACACTATAAGTCGATCAGTTATAAAAAAATAAAAGAACCTAAGTGTTTTGTTTATGAGTTTGTTGTCTTAAATAGAATAAATCGTAAGTTAAGGCCTTAATTTTTATTATTATCATTCACGAAATAATCATTTGATGGTGACGTGTGTAAATACAAGTATATACCGGATATAACTACTCGTACCTAAATTTTCAATTTTGCAGAAAACTTGTCTTCAAGCGAAAGTTTTGAGCGATTGGTTTCAGAGATAAATTATGAAGCTGCACTTCTAAAATAAGCCATTTTTTCATATGCAGTGGCTGCTCGAGTGCAAGGATTGGCAAAAACAGAAACGCGAGTGTGCGTATGGAGAAAGACTACATAAAGAGTCATGATGCCGTTAGGGACAAAAGAGTAAAATGGGATTTGCAATTTTTGCTTTTCGATTTGACGTTTTTGTCTTTGTTCGCTGACTTTTGCTCTGTCTTTTGTCTTTTTTTATTAGCTTTTTTGGTATGTTTTCTTTTTGTCCCTTTCTAAGAGGATCTAAGAGTGAGGAACAGAGAAAGAAAGAAAAAAAAATTTGAAGTGGGATTAGTGTTTAGTGAAGATAAACGGGAGAAAAGGCAAAATTTTCAAGACGCGGCTGATATGTTGGTAACAGATCACGTACTTCCTATCGATTATGATTTGTAAAGAGGTAAACAATAAGCTATTTAATTTAAAAAAGAAAACTGAAGAAATCGAAAAAATGAGGGGAATAAAATGACAGGGAAAAGAACTGGGAAAAAGGGGAAAGATAGAGAGAGTATAACTTATCATTAAAAGTTGATAAGTTTGTTGCTTTGAAAATGCTGACATTAGAAACGATCTTCCACATATTTTGCGACACCAATTCAAAGCAGTCAATATATCATTTCTACAAGATACATATATGTGCTTTGTTCAAGAACATTTTTGGCCTAATTCACCAGACCACGCTTACTATAAATGAGGACCGTGGCAAATTTCTAAACTCGAAGTTAGTCGACCACGATAGAAGCGACGCGGAACTGACTTTAAAAAGTAATACGACTCTAGTTGTGATCTATACATCTTGGTTGGGTATTATTAAAGAAGTTGTCCACTATAGCTAGTGGGAAAGTGTGAGCGAAAGATTACTGACCATTCAAGCATAAAGCAGGGTATTCATCTGGAATAGCTCGACTGATATTTGATCTTCGTCTTGATCATGCTGACCACACCGTCCGGTGTCCACTGAGAGACAACCAAAATAAGCTGGGTAAATCAGATTAAACGTAACGAAGGGAACCTTGGATCTTCCTTATCACAGCTCTCTGGCCAAGCAGTCATAAGTTGAGGAAAAGCAGAGCTTCCGAATGACTCAGGGCACCCCAAACGCTGGAGCATTTCTTGGAACTCAGTTCATCTCTTTTCTAGCTAGCTACCTTTCAAGTCATAGACTCACTACTTAATCCAGCAAAGAATTTAAGAACCTTCTACATATTAATAAGTGAGAAATTTTGCTGAACATTTCTTCTTTAATTGCTTGGTAAGTAAACAGTTAAGCTGAGTTTCCGAAATGAAAATGACGTGCTTTGGAGGATCTCAGTTTTATACGTAATACTTTTGCTTACTCCATATGAATATGATTCCTTGATTCATGTCATAACTAAATTTATCTGGTAACGTTTGAGGAACATTTCTGGTAAATTGTTTCATTCTATGTTAAACTAAGCGTTTGACGATAAGTACACAGTCGGTAGTTCGCGAAAAGTCGCTATCAAGTTGTAAATGCTGTCTTGCAAAATTCATTCAAACTAAGATCTCTTACCGTAAACAACAGTGGATTAATCGTTTTGTATAGGGTATCAAAATTACTTGAAATCCGTCTTTTCAGCGATGTGACATCGAGGTATTTACCGAACCTGAGGCTTTAATTTCTACCGAGCGAAATAAACTTTCTTGAAACACACAATTACACTCTGTTAATCTTTGTAGAATGCTACTAAATGCGATGGATGCACTTTTTGGTCGCCAATCCTTCTGATAGTTTATTTCAGTGCACACGAAACCCTTATTAAATTTCTTTATTATTGGTTTTTAATCCTTTAAACTTTTATCACTTCCGGAAGCTCTTAAGTTGGCATTGTGCTTCTCGACATGTGCCGTTCTAATTGAACCGTTTAATTTTCCATCATCGTGTGGGATGTTTGAGCTCAGTGGGTTAGACAGTAACTGTCAACATGTCGACATCACTAGGGGGGCTAATCTTCAGACGATCTAATAACCCAGTTATGAAATAAAGAAGATGATGCATTTAACTCTTTGTTGCTTTTTTCGCTCTGCATCGAGCAATTATCCTTTCACACTTTTGGTAGTAAATATAGTTGATTGCCGCCAATGTCTTCCTCTTAGCTGGTTTTATTATCGATTGTGTTTCCGTTTGGGCGAGAAGAATCGATTTAGTTCTAATCTTCCTATGATTATTGATACGTTTGGCCCAAACCTTGATTAGGCTTTGAGTACAATGATGTTTAAAGAATCAACAACGTGGCTCACTTTGTGATTCAGGGGTCAACTATGGTCCGCGGCGTTCAGCCATAGGGGATGACCATCGAGGACGATCTTTTTATGAAAGGCCTGCAATAGCCGCAAAGGATTACTTCTTCTATGAAAGAAGTTACTTTAGGAAAAGGACCTAGACATGTAGATAAAGGAATGAATTAAACTGTCACTATTGTTGAGAAGTTTTAAAATTTCGTCAAACCTCCTTACTTCGATGTACAGAGTTTTTTCCTTAAAATTTTCTCGGTTGTCAAACAAAAAACCATCTCTCTAAGTCTCAGTACGTATGCACCAGGACAACAAAAAGAAATCATCACTTCTCAATCATCATTTATTAACAAAGGTGACATAAGTATAAAAGAAATCTTAGAAGACCGACGAACGCGGTGACCTTTTCTGGTCATTTAAGCCCATTTGTAGGCTATTGCGGCAAGGTTAACAGGTAAAACCTCCACCACTTAACGGAGGAAGCGACGTCAGTGACTCTGGGGTTTAAAACACCTGTGCTATTTCCTACTACAGGTACATGTACGTGTCTCCTAAAATTTAGATTTTGATTTTTGTCGAGGGTGACTTCAATCCGGAAATCCACTGATACCTCAGTAGTGTTATAAGAAGGGCACCTTTCAGTAGCAAACCTGCTTCACGATGTTTTGATTTCCGATATGTGTTTCAGCAGAAGAAAATTTACAAATAATAGCTCACTTGGAAAGACATACGCCACATAGGAAAGAAGAAAGCAAAACTTTTTAAGTTGGTTGCAGAAGTTGAAGATTAAAACAAATTAATTGAAGATGGCGAACTTAGAAATGCCTAAATACACTTGAACAGTTGAAGCAGAGGAAGGCTTCTCAAACCTCCTTTGTTTGCGAGCAGTGAAAAAGAAGCAAGAGATCATCCAACAAAATAGTTTCTCCTTGCTGGTAACACAATTCATGATTTTACTGAAAACACAATCAAACAGGCAGATATGCAATACCAATATCTAGCATGCTCGTTTCCAAGCTATTGAAACTTCAACAGAGTTTATTTAGAAGTAACTCTTCCAAGACTTATGCTTCGGGATCGCCGCAATGCGGGAAAAAAAAAATTTCGCTACGCCGGTTACATCAATGGTTGCATTAACGTATCAAATGGTTAGAAAGGCGAATATATCAATCTAACCAAGCAAGGATACGAGAGCAGTGGAAGCCCTTACTTAAAAAAGAATATTATCATAAGGTGGCTAGATAGATTGATTTCGAATTCATTACCAATACTGATAAGAAGGTTTTTCACAAGATATAGTCAATATTTGAAGATCTTCATGTTTGCCATGCTTCTAGCAGCTTAGTAAATGCTTTATTAAAGAAAAGAAATTTTTTATTTAAAAGCAAGGCCTGTTTCTTATCGACGAAGGTCTTCCTGAACGACAAGTTTAACAGCATGAACTTTTGAGTGAGCCTCATGACAAATTTTGATAAGATCCCCCTCAGTAAGTCTTACGCTTATAGCATAGATTTCTTAAATTCGTTAAGCCTCGTGAAAAAGTAAATTTGGAGCATGGCTGTATGTTCTTCAAGGGCGTAAGTTCAAAGTGAAGCAGCAAATTCACTCGGCTGCCCGCAGCATTTCAATTATAATAGTTTCTTCAAGCAACGTCGGCAGCCGGTTCAAGTAAAGGTGTTATATTGTACTCTTTGTTAAATTGGTTTGGAATTACTTCCTTCAGTGGGATCACGCGATTCTGATTGAGCGGATTTCTTTTACCGACACGATCCCAATGGCCAAGCGAGGCTTGGCATCTTCGTGAATGACGGGCAAGGTCCATTTTATCGAGTGAAAGCCAAATTAATCAATTCTTTTATAGAAGCCTATTGCCTCCTCTGGATATAATCTGATCATAATAAAATTATTAAACGGATTTCCATCGGGCTTTAAGCCCGAGTTGTAAGTCAGTAACCGTAACCGTAACCGCAAAGACTAACGCCTTGGTTGCCACAGATGCAAGAGACCGAGGACTCGGATATATATACACTACTAAGAGAGAGTGACAAGCAATACGTGATCAACGGATAATGCGATGTTCTTAATACCAAGCGGGGGGGCGAAGAGGAAAAATAAAGTATTTCCGATTAGCTCGAGAGACGTTAAAAGTGCAAACTTCTCTGTAATTAGTGCAATTTAGCTGTTGCTAAAACTGATATGCTTTTATTTTTTCTGCAAAATGTTTTGAACCGTGTAATTTGAAGGTTGGTCACCTCAAGCATGAAAGTGAAATCTCATTTGAGCCTCTAACTACTCGAAGACAAGTGATAATTTAACCATAATTAGATTATTTGTTTGTTTCCTAAAGCCCCTAGTTTAGCATGACGTCAGGCTAGCTGCGTGACCTGGGTTAAGAAAAGAATTAAGATAATCCTTCGGTAGAAATATGACATCTTCTACTGACACAATAAGATGTGCTAACCAGTATTTACATATGCAGGATGTGGGCGACTGTCGTGCTTATCGGCAGAGAACCCTAAAAGGATTCATTGTTCACATGAAACGATTTATGTTTCCGCAGTTTAAAACAATCGCTTTCCTAAAACTCTTAAGCAACACTTCTGCAGTAACAAATGATTACAGAGACGTCGTCGATACTACATTTAACGTCGCGAAGGAAATTTTGCTCAGATCTCATACCTTGGTTTATAAATATTATTTGTTTTTTTTGCCCGCTTCTGTGACTCAAATCGTGTTTCTTATTGAATCAGGAATTAACATAATTTTCCGCGCTCCTTCAGGCGTTAGCTAGCGCTAAATTAAAACTTCGTGTTGGCATTCCTCGTTCATAACTCCTTGCATTAAACGTAGAATTCAATAATTCGAGCGATTAAGCCGTGAAGATTTGTAGACAATAACGGAGTCGATGCGTTACTTTCCGCACGGGGTTTTCGGCGAATTGTAATCACAAAAAATGAAATAAAACGACATGTCCGCAGCGCTGTCTTCATGAGCATGCCGCTGTCATTTACCACGACAATTTCCTGACAGCAAGCTTATTATGTTATCATTAAGCCCCTCCCAAACGGTTAGTTTAAATTCAAGGGTGTTAAGCTACGCAGTGCGTCTATCAGTTTAATAACACACCGTAAAGGAACCCTGAGACGTGAGTTTGGTATGTACATCTCTTCCTTCGGATAGCTATTCAACTTATTTACGAAGCAATTAGAGTAAATTTTTATATCACTTGATCATGCAGTTAAGTTACGAACTGCGAGCATTGTTTGCTTTGATTCAATCTCAAGTGCTTTTGAAAAATTACGGCATTCTTGATGGGGACACTTACAGACAAGTGCGTCTCAATACGACTTTCTCAGCGTCGGTTAGAGCTTCAAAGTTGTGAGCCGTTTTGTAGTGCCTCTAAAAATTTAATAGAGGAGTACAGTGAAACTTGGATGAATTCACTTAAACTTGGCCAATGACCACGCACAATATTTGCAAAGATGTATCGTGGGGTATTGGCTTGTTGGCGTGGAGTCAAAATAGCAAAATAGTGCGCTCCTGTGAGATTCAATGAGACAGTGGATTTCACCTGACTATATGTGCGATAAATATTTACGCCATTTAGACTGTCTCAAGATTTTGAAGCTTACTTGTTCTGATAGATCGATCGACAAAGAAATTACTACAACTCAAAAATTAAACGTGCTGCTGGAACAAATAGAGCGCATCCATCATAAGAGGATTAAAAAAACACTCTCAAAAACATTCTTGCAAAACGGACTCGCTTTAGACAGAAGTGAATCATTATAAGTGACAAAATTTTCACCAACCTTTTTCCTACAGTTCTACACCAATATTAAGACATGGAGCGTCACCCTTTCTCTATTGAAAACATTTTAAAGGACACACGAGGTAGTAGTAGCATCCTTAAGGTTGCACCGACTTCTGAAGCCTTGGCACTGGCAGAGAGGATGGCAGGTTAGTCGCACTTCAATGTAAGCTCTCTAACGGAGTAAAACTACGATTATGTTATTTGGTTTAGAGTTATCAAAGACCATTGGTTTAAAATACGATTAGCTACTAATTTGCGAAAGGAACTTTCCTTTAAATTCAAAGGTTTTTTTATGAGCATGCATCTTTGTTTTATACTCCATACCAATTGCCGTGAAATTCGATGAAGGCATTCGCCTGTTTTCAATCCAAACTGGAAATTCTTCTCATTCGGTATTTCCAACTACTCAACTGATTGTTCTCGAGAGTCTTCTTAAATTTTACATTGTTTAGACGGTTTTCGGTTTTTGGAAGCACTTGAGTAATTCAGAGGCGCCAATTTTTTACACTTACGGAATCTAAAATCACAGCCAAAAATTAATCATCGCATAATTAACTTATATTTTTGGTGAAGGGTCAAGTGAGATAAAAGGTGTCAGTGGTATCTTTCATCCATGTGGTTTTTGTCGAAGTCAAACCTCAAATCTACTCCGGGTTTTTTTTGTGGCTAAAATAAGGAATTATATTAAACCTTACCAAATCTTAGATGGACAAGTTCCATACAAAATGTTTTCAGGCGATTTGGGAATTTAAAGGGGACATTGGATTAGCCGAAAAAACCCGCAAGTGTTTTGTTAGTGCTTGAGATGTTGGTAATGAAGTCTGAATCGTGGAATAATGAAACACTACTTTCATTGTTCTCACCATCCTTCAATTGCATTTCCGCAATCCTTAATTTACAAGAGATTTAAAAACCCCAGTATAAAGCCTCCGTAAACCTCAGGAAATTCCTTTTTGTTCTGCTCAGCGCGGTTCCATTGAATTCTTTACCACGGGGAAATGAAAGGACTGTGCATTTTTAATCATGCACAGATTACTTATATATATAAAGTATAAAGATGTTGCACACACAGTTCTTCTTATTTAAGTATTTCCAATCTACAACCACCCTTAATTATGGATGATTCTTTGGTTTCGCGTATTAGAATTTAAGCCGCTCTGTTTACTGGTGGTTGCTAGCATTGTGATAAATACGTTTTATTCGATTACTAAAGTGCAGTCTTACTGATGACAGCAGCGCTTGTTTTCGGGTTATTCAAATAAGGAAATCTCAAAATGTAAAGCTCGACTTCCGATAGTTAAAAAAAGGAAAAAAAAAACACAAATATGCATTCCGACGAATTCTTTCTCTACAACGACTCTGTTTAACCGATGTAACAGAGATAGAATATTCGACAAAAGACGTTTTCACCTTATGTCTCCGAATCAATTTATCTCATCAACGAAACGTTGAGGAAACGTTCTTTTCGAAAACGAATCAGTTCAAATTCTGCTTAACTCCAGGGGCGTTTCCCTTGTTTACGACGCCGTCTTTAAAACATCACCATTTCTTTAGCACTGATCCATTGAAAGTCCCATTAATCAAGATACGACTTTTTTTCTTTGTTCTCTAGTTACTGTGCTTAATTGGAAAAGTCAGTTCTGACAAATTCATAAGCTTTGTTTGCAATGGTTCGGCGCCCAGTAAGCCTTACGATCAACAAGAGAACAATTAAACAGATTTATCAGAGCACATTGTCAGGCTGTAAGGAACTATTAATTATGGATGTTGACAGTTCCAGGTGGAAGAGTTTACACATGGGTTGCAAAGTCATGAGAGAATTTAAATTAACCATTCGATTTGTATGTATAAGGTTGTTCTTTCTATTTTAACTGGTTTGTTGTCAGACAGCTCCTTATCATCACAAATAACCTAAAGAGCGTACTCATAATTGGATGGTTAATAATCCCACCTTTCGAAAGAAAGTGTGTTCTTTGCTGGCATCAAGATAAGGTGCATTTCTTAGACTGTCCATCATTTGTTTACATTAACAGCTCACATTTTGGAGTGTAGGCAAAAGTATGTTACTGTCATGAATTATTTTCAATGGGATAGATCCCTTGCATCAATTATATGGACTTTCTAAAATGCATCTCCCCTACTGGCCTTAACGTAATTCTCTGTAATCAGTAGCCTGTTAATGCCGATTGTCTGAAAGGGTTGCAAAGAACGCCGGAAATTGCGAATGAAGAGTAACAAAGGCGAGTGCCGCTTAAATAAGAACTGTCAGATCACAAGCTATACCGACTTCTACTATACGTGCACTGTAAAAAGCTGTTTAAACAAATGAGCTAAAGTTATTTCTGAAAATCGATCAGTAAGCATATTGTTTCCATTTAATCAGCCAGTACATACACAGGATAGAAGAGCTATGCAATGATTCTATTTTGAGCATGCAAAAATCCTCTTATAATCCCACCTGGGTCTTTCCTCTTCCGTAAAACGTAAAAAAAAAGTGTTACCTGCACGTTCTTGTTTAACTCAATTAGTCGCTTGTTATCACCACTTTTGAGGGAAAGTCATCAACATGCAAGAAGGATTGCCATTCTTCCAAGAAAAACCTTTGAAAATAATAATAGAAAGTCCACAATTTGTAGATCAGAACTGGCATCTTTTCTTTACGTTCTAGTTCTGAATTCTCCTCATACTTTAAGTGGGAGCTTTTTATAAGCGACGGAGTAGCATGCATTTCATTGGAAGTAAATAAAGAAAAAAACTTATTCGCTTCTGAATAAGCTCCAGCCACGTGGGTCAGTTTGGTTGAAGTAGAGACTTTGGAAAGCAAGTTTAAAAGTCTATATCGCTGTTATACAGGATGTTTTGAGCTGATGATAATGGTACATATGGGACGTAAAACTTTGCGTGATCTTTTTTTTAATATAGATATTATATTAAAGGTCAGCTGTATGGAAGGACGGAAAATTCGGCGTACAAGAACCACATTCAACCAGTTCCAACTTGAAACTCTCGAGAGGACATTTGCAAGAACTCATTATCCAGACTTGATGCTAAGGGAGCAGTTGGCAGCTTACACAAGTTTGCCTGAATCACGTATCCAGGTTGGTTTGACCCCAAAATTAAAATCACACCTGCTAATCAACTCATTAAAAAAGGACTTAGTTTCGATCCTAACTTCTCAGAGGGTACGTATCGAGGAAGTATTGTTAACAAAATAATAATCTTAAAACTTTTTTTTTTCAAGACCTGGTTTGTATTTGCCCGAGTAAAGTACTGCAAATATTTCTGCATAGAACTGTAGGAAAAAGGAATGACCCGGCATTCTTTGCAGTCGAGAAATATAATTTAAAATATGCCTAAAGATATCAAACAGAAGATGTTATAGGCTGAACTTAGATACAAGTTATGGCAAAGGTTATATTCAGAGCATCAAGTCACCTTAAAATAGAATATCATCTTAGCAGCAAATGGTGCCGTACCTCGATTTTAAATAGAAAATTGAAATCCACCAAATCGGGAAAAATCTCTTCCAAATAAAAGGGCCCGGATTCCCCAAACGAGTTCGAGGACATGACCTCTTCCTAATTCGGCTTAATAAAGAAAGCCCTAATTTCCACATTCCGGTCACAGTGAGTAAACCGATGATTTCTTTATAGCAGATTTGAGAATTAGTTTTTCAGGCTATTCGCAAATGAGACACATGGTTTCCATTCGTCATAATCACATCAGTTGCGCAATATCTGTCAATTATGGACTGAGGTACAGAAGAGTGATTCAAAAGATATGATTTGATGTGACGTAAGCACAGAGTAAAAATGAAATCCCAAATCTTGACTCCCTCTTCCCTTAAAATAGTGACGGCAGCTTTCTTTAGATGAGATTTACATAAAAATGCAGGTGTTACCTCCCGGCGCGAACCCTTCCACTACAAAGATCCGAAAGTTGATTTTCCTACCTGATTACTAAACACTTCCTTGTCAGCTCAATAGAGTTAAAATGAGCTTTTTAAACACTGGCTCATAGATTATTAGCAGCTACAAATAGTAGAAATTAAATCCAAAATCTTGATTCCCCCTTCCCTTAAAATAGTAAGGGCATCTTTCTTTAGACGAGATTTACATAAAAATACAGGTGTTACCTCCCGGCGCGGAGGAAACGTAATGACATCGATATGCAACTGACTCGTAGCTATAAATAGGAACTCAAAACCAACGAATGATCGTCATGGATGTAAATTTATCATCCCCACTGAAAACACTTTTTTATGTCTGTGTGTTTGTTTTGTTTTGTTTGTCTGTTTGTTTCTTTAGTTCTGGTTTATGTCTTGAAAGATTCGTTACGCCGCCCAAAACCCTAGTCACGGTTTCTTTTTAGAAAAAAAAGCAGAAGTCAAATAAGTAACTGATAGTAGGGTATCACTACTTCAAGCGTTCTAATTTTCACTTAGTTAGTCGCCGTCTTCTTTTACCTGTCTCTTAGGTGTGGTTTAAAAATCGTCGGGCCAAGTATCGCAAACTTAAAGGATCTAAAGAAACAGGTGACCTGGAAAGTAAGGATGACCAAGAAACGAAAAAGAAGAAAAATGCGGATGATGATGATCTTCAGGATGTTGAAGGTTCACCTGTTGGGGATGAAGCCCATTCTTATCACCAAAATAAGCGGCTAAAAGTTGATCGAGATCTAGAAGACAGTAATATCGCAGTTCCTACACGTCCAGTTCCTCTGAGCTCTGGGTATGTGTCATCGCCTTTCTCTTCGAGGTCTTTTCCGTTTGACCCAAGGCTGCTATCAGGATATGGTTATACTTATGTGCCTGAGTGGGTCTATTACGACTCGGTAAACAACTGCCAGCCGCGTCCAGTTAATGTACAACAGCTGTATCCCAACATAGGAGTTATTCACTGAGTTTATGCGAAAGGCTTTGGTGTAAAATGTAATCATTATTTATCTTTTCAAAGAAACAACATTCTAGGAATACGATGAGAGACTCACGGCTTACGGAGCCATAATGTGGTGCAAACAGCGCAGACTACAGCTTCTCTCGCATCATCAATGTAATTTATTGCGTCATGTCTGTAATTTTTTTAGGAATATAGAAAGTTCTGTTGTCAGGGCAAAACATCTAGAGGAGGTGACGGAAAAACGCGTTCAAAAATCATCTGTTTGGTAAAACTTAAAGCAAATGTAAATACTAAATATGTATACACTTATGCAGAACAAATTTGATAATAGTCATACTTATTTATAAACATCTGTAATATACTTGTATTTAAGCCGTTTCCTAAGTTTGTACCATTTCACTATTTGAAACTGCTATGTTCAACTGCGTTTGAATTGAGACTATGTTGGCAATAAAAAGGAATTTAGGCGACTTATTTAGAATTTAAATTGACAGAGGATTATACAAGAAATCTGTCATCGCTGAACATCTCAACTTTGGACCGTTCGCCCACTCGTCAGTGGGTGCATCGCTGTTATTTTATCTTGAAAAGCCAAAATAAGGCTGTGTCCAAGTAGGATCGGATTATTATAACCGTAGCAAGTATCATATGAAATGTCCAAGGAACGCACAAAGAACACGAATTGTCAAGCCGCAATTGTTAGGCCATAGCTTCTCAAGCTTGAGTTAGGTTAGCGTTAGGAATCTACCCTGGGTACCTATGATTTAGGTCACGTCTGAAGGCGTCTCAGTAAGCCAACATAGTTTAAGCCAACATATCCTCAGCCCTAAGCCGTAAAAGGCGTTAACACCGAGTCCCACGAGGTTTTTAATAAAGATCCCTGCCGAGCATACTATCAAAAAGCGGACTTGCGCTGTAAGGTGGCACGAGAAAGCTCATTTCCTATTCCCTTCCCTGCTTCGAGACATCAAGAGGAAATAATGGGCATTGTTTTCTATTGGAGACAATTAATATAGACAGTCTGAGTTTGGATTATAACTTTTTCTTCCTTAGCCAAGAAGTCTCCTTCTTCGAAGATTGTGTGTCTCTTTGTCAGTCCATCCCATACTCTCGTCTTAATTCAAGAAGACGCCAACAGTCTTTCCCTGGTCTCTCCTCCCCGGATAGGCTTTTACAGTATTTCCTGCTCTGTCAGCAAAACCATAATCGTGTTTGCTGGTCCACCAAATACTTTTTTTTTTCTCCCATTTGCCGAAGTCTCTGTTGCCTATTATTCAATAATTATCGTGCTTTCAAGTTCAATATTTGATGGGGCAACACAGCGGGGGATAATCATACCAAGTGTGAAAAAGTTGAGAATTCGCAGTTCTTCCAAAGAGATGTAATCAAGCTCCTTCAGCTTTTAGAGCAAGTTCATTAAAATTTCATTAGCATGGCAAATAACATAAAAACTTACCCACATATCAATAACAATATTAGTAAATGAAAATATGAAGTTATAATTATCTTAATTTGCCAAATGTTTTAAAGCCGATTAAGGTTAATCGAAGATTGAAATCTCACCATTTTAAATCTCATTGCAGCATGCCTTTCCTTCTCACCTTGAACTCAGTCAAGGATTAGGGTGATGAATCACAGTCAAATTGATGCTGTCGACAAAAGAACACGAAATAAGCAAATTGAGTGGTTAAGCCAAAGATTTTTTGATAAATTCTGAGAACAAAGGAAAATATGGAACAGGAAAGGCAGAGAGGAAGAGGTTCAAAAAGATAGACGGCGAAGGCCTTAGAGCAGACAATCATAGGGAAGAAGCCTTAGAAAAATAGAGAGTATTGACTCATAAGAAGCAATGCCGTAATGATGAAGGAAGAAGCCGGGGTGTCAGTAGTAACCAGGGTACAGACAGGGAGTATATCCGATATATCGCCTTCTCAGCTTAGCACATGGAAAATCTCTGTATTATGATATTAATGGTTTGTGGCAAGGCCATCAGAATGGACCGACAATTGATAATCACCTTTGGTAGTTATTGTCCACGATGGCTCGAATAAAGATTCGTGTAACATGGCCAGTGGGCATACATACTTTCATCTCTAACCTCCTCTTTGCCCTTGATTTGCGTCATGCATTTAATCAAGAATGTCTTTAATGGGGTGAAATTCCCCAAACTAAAAATGAAAAAAAAAAAAAAAAAAAAAAAAAAAAGAATTAAACCCATACAAAAACAGGCAAAAATGCGTGAATAAGAAAATAAGTACGATTAAGTCATACCGGAAAAGCTTACCATAAGAAGAGTCTTGAGAAGCCAGACGGTTGGTCGTCCATGCTTGAGAAGCATAAACAATAGTTCTGTCTGGTTTGAACAAAGAAATATCTGCTTTAACTATAGTGATTTATGATCAAGCCATCGCTGATATCTTTTCTGAAGATCCAAGACAAAGGCTCTTTTTATGGAGCATTTGGAAATGAGAATTGAACAAGTCTTAAAATACAAAATAAATTTCGAACATAACCTAATTAAAGGTTGTTGATAGATGTTAGTCGGTAGAAAGCAGTCTTACGCGTTCATGATTATCCTTTTTTACTGCTACCACAAACCTTCTCTGAGATGAGGGAAGTTGTGAAATCCAGTAGTATTCCTGACAAATTTTGGGTAATCCCTTGTGTTGAGGTCTTGAGAGTAAATTATAATGAGTACGATAATTTTGGAAACTGATCAGGACTCGAGATAAGCTATCGTATCTTAGCTTTCGGTATTTTAACGACTTAAAAGAATCTTCCTAAAGGTCGAGTTATTTTCAATTTTGGCTTGCTTAATTATACCTCCAAGAACGCAAAGTTTGGATTCCGAACGAAAGTGTTGATTTTACGCCTTAATACAATTAGCACACAAGAACTTCGGGCCGGCTGAGAATGCGAATGAAGGTCAGCACATCCGTTTTATAGATCCTTGCTCACCATGAAGCTGCGTGAATAGCGCTATTACATTTTAATCTGGTATTTTCCTAAAAGCTAAATTGCAGCCACACACGGTGCACTTCCAGGTACGATAAAAACCCTTCGAGTTTTTTTCTTGTTTTTTCGCCCGCCCTTCACTGGAAGGTTTCCGGGAACATTTATCAATGTCAAATAGCTTGGTATAATCGCATTAACAGCTGGTTACACTCACACGCACACCATCATATCTCAAATCTGCACTCGTCGTTGAACGGGAAGGCTCTGCCAGCCTTCTCTATACATACAGAGGATCTTACCATTTTCTGACTTAGCCTACATATACAGACCATGGACACCCACCCTTTTTCTATAGAAAGCATTCTGAAGAAGCCCTATGCTAAGAAAGTCGAAGAAGAGACAAAAACGCAGCCTTCAAACTCCAACGAGGCGCTATCATTAGCTGTAAAGCTGGCTGGTAAGTTTTAGTCTAACACAGGCAAATGTAAGTGAATTAAACCAAGTCTTAAGCGTCGTTACAAATGTTTGTTGGCAAGGTTGCGAAGAAAGCCTTTGGATAACACTGCCTTGTTTGGTAATGTAATTTATAAGAAATGTCTCTGTCGGCAGTGATGTGGGAAGTTTTGATAAACCATCTTTTAGTTCACAGACAACTCGGGTGGAGACGGAAACCTCCTTTTTTCGCTGAAATTAAATGTTCATAGACCTTAGCTCGTTAAATTGTTTTACGTAGATTTCACATGTTAAAGGAAACTTATTACTAGTCGCCCGTTCGAATACCTTTAACGGAATAACCGAGGAAACTGTCCATACCATTAAATGGGGTAGTCCACTCTAGCTCATCAAGACATTAGATAGTGTGCACAAAGAGCGGTTGCAATAAAGTACAATGGAAAATTAAGCTTGTTGCTAACAACGCAAGACTGAGAGTTCAGGTTGGACGGCACCAAACACGTAGTTAATGCAAACAAGATAACAAGGCGTCAAGAGGTTTCAAAATAATTTACATTCACTCGTATGTCTCTTGTTGATGTACATGAGGCAGGTGAGAAACCGTTGCCTGAATAAGTAAGGTATACGCTGTAATCTATGGCCTTTACGCCCTTCGAAATTGAAATCGATGTATGTGTTATCTGTATAAGCTGTTCCTTTAAAGTTAAACAGACGGCAATCTTGAACAAAGCATTGATCAAAGTGAAAGCTCATGTTTTAGAGAAAATCTGCTGATTTCGTGACCCCCCTCTTACAACCCCTGCTTATCAAATGACTGAGGGTATTCTTGTTTGTCTTCTTGGCGCCGGCTAGAGATTCAAGATCTAGATAAGACAATACTATGGAGAACAAAATGAAATAATGTTCCACTTTAGGACCATAAAGAAACTAGATACCCTTTTAAGAATTTAGAAGCCACTTCGTAAAGCCACAGTGACTTGCATTTGCGATCTCTACGCTGATGTCTCCTCTTGATTCTCTATGGAAGTGGGTGCTCATTTTTTGACCACTGAACCACATTGACCGTATGATGTATTTCCTCTCTTACCTGGTAGTTCTCCCACACAAAAAACCAAATCCCGTTTGTTTTCGGGCAAAGAAACTTGGTTGTGTTCAAAAGCATAAGTGACTGATAACACCGTAACCAAATTTTATAATAAGCTCTTGATTCTGATCCTGTTACCTTTGGTAGTTTTTCAGAGAGAGGATAGGATAGTTGCACTCACACTGTTCTGGGTGGTTTTGGTGGTCCGCTCGTTGAAGCACTTTTCTTAACCCTTAAACAATTTGAGTTTTGGCATCCGCGAGGCCTAGCCAGTAATATAAATTGTTGTTGTTTTTTTTTAAAGTGCTTGCCGCGTTTAACTGGAAGGGCAAAGCATAACAATTTTCCATAGCAACAAGGAACAGACTGAGAGAAAAAAACCCGCGTAAGGATCGGAAACCAAACCTTAGGAGATTGTAGCCAACTCCCTGTTCAGTGTTGTTGTTGTTGCTCCTGTTTATATTTTTTTAAATTTTTTTCTTCTTCAGCTGCGAATTATTAGATAAAAGGGATGGTTGGGTTTTACAAGCCACCCCACGAGAGCGGCAGATGTTGAGCCTCAGGGACGGCCTGCTTGAAAACTGTTGTCAGACACAGGGGGAATACACGGACCAGTTTGACATTACCTGAAGCTAGATGAATATCTAGGGTCTCATCAAGCAGAAAAAGGAATTTAGACCTTTACATCAAATATAGCTAGATAAGCGAGATTCCAAGATTCAATCTTTCACTGACTCTGTCGGCGCGCATTTGGGAATGAAAACAATTTAATCTTGTAAATTATGAGGGTACATACCTTAAAATAAACTGACTAAATGGCTGCTGATGGATGCTGTCGGAGAAACAAGACTTCTAATGAATCAGAATTTCATAGGGTATGGTTAAAAAGGGAAATGCTTTCCCTAATTCTTTAATCCTCTGCGACGAGAAAGGCTAGCTTAAATGGCGTTGTTGAAGCTTAAGCTTGTTTGTTAGCGCATTTTATGCGGAACTCATCACATTTGGTGAGAAGACGTACCACATTGGAATCCAATACACGGAAAGATAAGTTGGGACTGGCCCAACCAGCAAGCGCCAAAATGTTATTGTGACGGGTGTCTCGATGCAAATTTGCATCAACGGCACTAAGAACTAAACTGTGGGATTATAATCGAGCTGAAATTTTCCACGATAGTTCATTACTTAAAACGCTACACAAATCTACACAACGTTTAAAATGGAGTCTGCGAAAAAAAACTCGAAAGTATGAAATTCAATTTGGCTTAATTACTTTTACAGCTGCTGAATTCGAGCGAGGGTATCGTATTTGTAAGATAGCAGGCATGTCTATCCATTTTACCAAACTGCGCCTTAATGCTGTCTCACTAATGATTACCTCCTCTTAGATGTCATACTGGAAGCTCAACAAGAGACAACCCGCCGTACACCTCGACGCACGCGCACTGCCTTTACGCATCAGCAGTTGGGAGTCCTGGAACAATTTTTCAATAAAACACATTATCCGGATGTAGAATTAAGGGAAGAACTTGCTGCAAAGACCAATTTGCAAGAAGGCAGGATTCAGGTAGGTTGATAAATTGATGATTCAGTATTTTTCAGTTTTTATCTCTTTTTTCATTATCTGCTGCACGAGAAAATGAGCTGGGCAAGAAAATTAGGAGACAGACTATCCCTTGAAAGGGATGAGGACATCCCTGTCGTTTCTCTTGGAGCGCAAATCCTGGATTTTGGTTTCAATTCACGTGCTCAGGATCATACGTCAGACAAATCGTAGATAACTACTTAGAGGGAGGCGAGGATTGAAAATTTCCCTTATGGAATAAAACCTCCAACCATTACAGTAATAGCCTTTATCAAGATCCTCATCATCATCCCAAATTAGTGCCAGTAGGCACAGCGCAGGATGCATCAATTAATCCTTAGATAAAACTTCTCAAAAAGACTTTAAAATACTCTTTCAAGTGAATTTCCTACTTGAACTGAAAATCCATTTGCAGAAACTAGCATAAGCGAACCCCACGTTACAAGCTAAACGATTTGTGTTCTTTTTCAGGTTTGGTTTAAAAATCGACGGGCTAAATTTCGAAAGGAGAAAGGAAAATTTACATCAGAAGTGGGCCTTAGCAGTAAAAGCGAAGACGAGATTATTCAAAACATATCTCAGGCAATTCTAGCTCAAGAAGCACCATGTTGTTTCCAGTGTAACATGTCATTGCCGCACTACTGCATCTGTGGTGATCCCGAGGAAGCCGTGAAAAATTTCCACAGGATTTCTTCTAGCATGTTCTCTCCGTTTGCTACTCATGCTCATTTGGCGCACGTTAATGGTCTTCATTGCTGTCCGAATGGCAGTCATGAAGGATTAAGTGCGGGGTATTTCGCGAGGATGAGGAAGATGAAGAAGAGAAGAGACTGGAGCGTTGGGGAACGCTCTGCACTTTATTCCTTGTGACTAAAAAAGTGAAAAGTCTTTAGAACGAAAAAATCGTTGAAGGATTGTACGAGCGGCCAATAAGAGCCAAAGTCGTTTGCTGATGACGTGACATTAGAATCTACGTCAAAACACCTTTCAAAATCAACCAAGTAGGAAATTCTTGTCCCTCCGGACTGAGCAAATATCTAGGAGAAGTGAATGAAAGATAGTATAGTGTCCTGCGTGGATCCGGTGTCGATTTTAAACGAGAGATTTGAGAATTAAAATGCTTTTAGTTCCTTTCCTTCAATTTTTTTTTTTTTACTTTAGGACCCAAACCTTACGATTATTGAATACACCGCACACCGATTACCATTACACAGAAGCTTAGACCTCAGTTTTGATGTTCAGAATTTTCCATCTTAACTCTGTAGATCACCACGCCTTTATTAATCTTGTTATAGTTTAGAGATCTAAAGGTCCGAATTCTGTCGGAAAAAGCTGGCTTTTTTGAAGTCCTCCTATCGTACACGTTAGTAATTTAATCTTTGAAAATACTGATAACGGAAGAACACACGAGAACTAGAGAGTGAAACTGACCATGATTTATGGCTTAGTAAGGCACATAGTATTGAGCTCTTCCGGTGTTAATACTTTTAACCCGGTGTTAGAGAAAAGTTATATCACTCCCTATAACCTATCATTAGGGCATCAATGGATTTTTCCATTTTTCACGACTTGACAATTTATGAAATCGATATTCATGGAAACTGATCTAGTGCGAACAAAAGACAATTTGAATAACAGACAGAAGTGTTATGGTGTGTGGTTTATTGTTATCCCCTGTGATTCAGGTAAAGAAAAGAGATCAGAAAAATCCAGCACAATTAAGTGCTTGTTGAATCTATTATTCTTTAATTAACTCAACCTCAGCCACAACGAATATGCGTTCACTAAAATCATTCGAGATCCCTATGACACATAATCCTGAAAATCGTGCTAATTAGGGCCCTACAGAGACATTAATCAACGTCAACTTTAAAACGTGACATGATTCAGTTTCAACGGCTTACATGTGAGGTGCATACACGGCATATATATCACAATCACACGATCGTCAAATATATATAATGGATACAAATTTATTTTCCATTGAAAGCATTCTAAAGGAACGTTTCTCGCGATGAAGAATCATCGTAGAAACAAAACCTTCACGATCCAATCAATCTCCCTGTCTGAGAACCATAGCCATTACCAATTGATATAAAATTGATGAATGAACTTGCTAAAAAACGGAAAACTTCTGAGCTTGATTAATGATTACTTCTAAAACCATACCCCTCACCCTGTTTGCAACGGGAAAGCCTGACCGCCAGGTGAGGAACATAATGAAGCCATCCCTTTTCCCACGGGGCATTAAGGAGCAAGAAGCAACCTTGATCTCTTAAGGCTGAGAAAATGATATTCCTGTAGCGTTGCGAAAACTTGCATGGATGTAATGTCATGGATGACAAGGGTGATAATTTCTTCAGGGTGGGAATACTAACAAATCTTTTGAAACCTCTCCGATAAGTAACAACTTCTTTTTAGTGCATCTCCATTCACAGTGAAATTAATATAAACAAGATAAATAGCCATTTTTATTTATAGCCCAAGACTATAGCTTCGCTGACAGCACTGATATGGCGATGGAAGAACCGATGAATCGTTATGGGGAAAATACTAATCTAGAACAGAGTCCATGAAGCGTTGTAGTACATTCTTCACCCTTGTGCTACTAGTTACTTATCGCGTAAGCACTTTTCAGGTTAAGTTTACTGCGCTGTACTGGCACCAGAAGAAAGATAAAAGATGTTTTGATAAAAACGCTTGATTGTTTCTTCGATTCGTACTTCCTGTGTTAAGTAATAATAGTAATCTTTCGAGGTTTTCCGTACAACCACATGAACAGTAAAATGATTTATTGTTTGCTATAAATCACTCTCTGAGTTCGCTGTATTACCTCTCAGAGAGTAACACGCTTATCTTCTCATCGCAGAGCATTTATCAAAATATGCCACGAACCACTTCTCGCATTACCAAAGGTTTACTTCATAAGCTGAATGCGGTTGTTGAGATTTAATTGTTTGCATGTGCTTTAGCTATTCGATAAATCCGATTAAGGTACACCGCGAAACACTGTTATCTGTTCCAATATCAGTAGTACCAGACCCTTGCTTCTAGGAACTTCGTCTTCAGTTTTCTTATTCAAGCTGTATCATGAGCACTCTCTCTGGAGATCTAAAGCGGCGTAAAATTAAGCTTTACGTTGATAAACATGTTAGCTAGAGAGCACGAGTTTTCCATTCAAAATTATGGTATTTTTTGTCTGAAACCAGATGGCTTTCCGAAAAAAAGACGCTTGGTGATATGTAATATTTGTTTATACTGGGCTATGATAACAATTTTTGCGGCCATGTCTCCAAACAGTGAAATCGACTAGAAAAAGGGTGACAGGTTTTTCTTCTTTTTGAGATGAAGTGCTTCTACAACGTAGTTAACCCAATTGATGCGTATTCAGTGTATATGATCTAGTTTCTCGTAATCCCAGGCCGACATTTTAATCCCGGAACTTTGCAGACGACGTGTGAAAATAATGAATAAAAAATGATTTCCTGCAATTGGAGTAAAGACATGCAATATCCCAAACTTCAGGTAATTTATCATCCATAATGAATAAATTGAAAAGTGATACATTTGTTATGAAAAGTCCTCATACTGGACACTGTTCATAATTACGTGATCAAACCTCATAGAGGCTCTTTTCAATTGAAAATGATGCTCATGTCTTTGCTTTATTAAACTAAGATTTTTTCTGAATGCCACAAAGTGATTTGGAACTCGGTGGTTTTAATCCAAGTCTTTTCAGGTAGAGTAAAATTCAAAGATATATAGTATGACAGGAACAAGTGTTTTTCTTGGTTCGCTTTCATGAAAGACGAGTGGACAGGGCAAGGATCCATTTACCACCCAAAACGATGTACAGCAAGTTCTGCCCGTGGGCGCCAGAGAGAAAAAGAGAAATATAGGAGACATGTAAGTTTTTCTGAAGGCCTTTTAGCTTGTCAATGTCGGTTTATAATTTATCTGCTTCGTTCAGCCAAAGAGATGAAGCTTGATAGAAAGTTGGTAATCAGAACCGTAGATTATGCCTCAGTTATCAACCGATGGCCGATAAACATCGCCAAGTATGATGAGCTAAATTCCGAGACTATCTTACACACGCGGCCTCTGTCGGTAAGCATTTGAGAATGAAAACAATTTAATCCTGTAAACAGGAGGAAAAAACTTAAAATAAACTGACTAAATGGCTGCTGATAGATGGCCGTCGAGAAAAAGGGGGACCAATAGATCATACCTTTGCGGGATATCACAATCATGTGAAGGATTTTCGTGCGCTAATACTTTAATCTTGTGACACGAGAAAAGTTAACAGTCTTCTTACATATGCCGTTGCTAATAGATACCAGGACTATTTTTCATTAAAACTTGCCTCTTTTGATAACGAAACAGAAACATCTTGCAACTTAACTCCACCACGAGATAAGCGGCCCTTGACAGAGTGTAAACGTTATGGTGTCTAATTGCTCATTTAATGGCATTAGCACATCGTTCGTAGAGTAAGTAAGGATGAAAGAACTGGGAAATGATTCTATTCTCCAAAAATGCCGGAGGAAATACTCGATGATTTTTGTTTTCAAACGAAGTTCGGTCGGGATCATCTGCTGAACCCAATTTACAAGGGTGAGAGATTGTCAACTGCTGGCATCTGCGACAGTTTTTGGGAACATTTATCAATGTCATCGTTCCAAAGCTTAATTACATTTGCAGATACTGCTGCTCGTAAGTTAACACGGATGAGAGAGGCCAGTATGACAAAACCACGGGTGTCTCAAAAGTGAGTGTGTACGCTTTCATTAAGACGCTTTGGTCAAGAAAGAAAAACAGCTACACAGACGCTCTCGGAGAATCGGCCACATCGACAAAATAGGTACAATGGATGCCAATCCATTCTCGATTGAGAGCATTCTTAAAAAGAAACCGGTTCCCTCGTCCGTGAATGATACGGAGGAAACTCAGCCGTCCAAATCAAGAGAAGCACTTTCACTGGCCGTGAAACTTGCAGGTAAGCGATTAATGATGTTGCTGACACATGTCGCTATCACGTACTGTCTCAGTAAAATCGTGAAGAGTCAGATGAACCAAATTGAGCCTCCAGTGTTACACACTTCGCCGTGATCTGTGATCAGTTTGTTTTGAGTGCAAACTATACGAAACTTCATTCCTTCTGATATCATTTAATCATCTCAGTTTCGAGAGGTTATTAATTTTAAGACAACACTGGAGGAAGACTTACAACGTTCAAAATTATAGCCTCCGTAGATCTTTGATCTAAGTCAAAACAAATCACCATGTTTTTTAATAACAGAGTACTTCAGTTGAAGAGGACTGGATTAACACTGAATGAAGCTCGGTCAGTTTCTCGATGAACTGGATTAATATTGGGGCTATAGCCTGCAAAAGACGCAATACGAGCCGCAATGACCGTAATTGCGCGGCAATTTATCTTTGAAGCAAATCAAAACAAATTGTGTCTCAACATGACCAAACAGTACTTGAAGAGGAATGAATCATTACAACACATCGCTGAATTGTTTTGGAAAGACCATTGCTAATCCACTTGTGAGCAACTTTGACAAGAGCCTTTGTTTAGTCAATGTGATCTTTAACTGTTTACCGTTCGAAGTCTATTCTCCAAATTTAGAAAATCTTTCAAAACCAGTTTGGCATTGTTACCAGCCACCGACAGCCATTTTGCAGACAGTTCTTGAAGCCCAAAACCTAAGTCTAAGATGACGTCTCCGCTCTTAAAAAACATTACATCTGAGCCTCCTCTCGCGTTGTTATTTAGTATCACAGAACCAAGCTTAATTTATCCTTTATCTGAAAGCTCCACTTGATTGCGTGAAGAGTAAATGAGCACAGGTATGTCAAATAAAAGGAAATGTAAACAAGTTAACAAGGAGCGGAAGGCTCTACGAACGGCGTAATGAGAAATCCATCCTCAAACATCTTAAGCAAACGTCAAAAGACAAGTGAGGCGAAAGCTTTACGTGGCTTCGTACTGATTCATTGAGTATCATTGAGTTGAAATATTTTGTAAGTTTGCTCACATACACAACAGCGCGTCACCGCACCCGTTGGTTCCCTTATCGGGAATTTATCACAGCCCGATGTATTTCTCTGACCATATTGGCGCCAGCCAAGCACTAATCATGTTCGCAATGTTCAGGAATTCCAATTAGATTGCTCTCTGATTTATTGGATGTACCTTTAAATGTGTCATATGCGTTCAGGGGGCAACTGAAATGGTTCCGAAGAGAAAAGGGCATCTCTCCCAACGAATTGGTAGAAAATGTCTGGTTGATATTTTAAAAATCCGTTAATGCACGTGAGAAGCGCTGTTCAAGTACAATGTATATCCAAAAAACTTAGAAAATGAAATCATGATCTGATTATTCTGTCTAATCAGCATTTATCGACAGATGCTAATTTTAGTAACACTTTGCTGATCTTGTTGTCTTTTTTCTTATTTCATTGCCGTAGACACTATCTTCTCCTCACATTCCCACCTCAAGACAACAGCACTCTCTATGAAAAGTAAAAGAGGCTTTCACAATCCTTTACATTCACATCTCATCTTCTCTCCCTCCGTAACTCACTTTATGTTGATCAATGGAAAGAATCATTGCCACCTTGCGAACCTGACTTAACTTCTACCAACTGAAACTATGAGCAATAACCTCAGAAGAACAATTTTTTGTTCATTTACTATTACCATTAGTCCACAGTATTTCTTTTTCCTCGATCTAAGTTCTTGTTTTCCGTAACCTTTGTTCAAGTACCCTCTCAGCCATGTCGGTCCGATTGTACAGTTTTTACTTCAAGGGTGACCTGGCATATTCTCCTTGAAACAGTATAAAGCTAACAAAAAGTACTCTACGTCTGTCGCTTATTTATTGTCCGAATTAACGGTTAACCGCCAATATCTGATTAGCCTTCTCCCCTGAGTTGCTCCACATTTCCTCGTAAATAAGTTGAGAGATTTGGTGTCGCTTACAAATTAAAAAACTGACCATGTGTCACCTTTCTCAGATGTTATCTTAGAGGCTCGACAAGAAAAGACGCGACGTACACCACGGCGCACGCGCACTGCCTTCACCCACCAACAATTAGGAATCCTGGAAAAATCCTTCAGTAAAACACACTACCCGGATGTAGAGCTCAGAGAGCAACTTGCTGAAAAAACTAACTTACAAGAAGGGAGAATTCAGGTAAACAAATAACGTTAATGGATGGATGAATTAAACTGAAATTAATGAAGTCTTCACTTTATTTTAGGTTTGGTTTAAGAATAGACGTGCTAAATACCGCAAGGAAGCAAGAACTTGCCTTCTTCTCGAGGATTACGAAAGTGAAGAGGAACAAATCCCCGCCGTTTGCCCAGTGACGCCGACTCAATCATCGCTGCCTTTTTTTCAGTATAACACAGTTCCTTATTGTTTCAACCACAGTGAACCCTTTGATTCAATAAGAACTTATGGACACTCTTCAGCTATGTACCCCCAGTTGAGTAGACACACCCAGTTGACCTCACATGCTCACTTGACACAGCCGCTTGGAATACACGGCTGGCAGCCTGTGTCGACAAATGTGATGATGAGTAACGCACATTTTGGAGATATGTGGAATGGATGAAAAACAATTATCGAAATCGTTCAAAGTGTATTTGATAGATCACTGCAACAGATTCGAAACAGTATTTGTGTGTGTTGTGCATTTTGATCCACGTTATACGATCGTCTTTCGCCGCGACTCATCCCGAGTAGCTGACATTTATTGTACGCCTCATAAGAAAAAAAATGTTGTCGTTATATAATTCACTAGTAATAAATGCAGTGCCTAACTTGCGCGTAACGGACGCTAAAAGTCGGCGTGAGAATGTTGTACTGCAAATGAAAAAACAAATGAAATAAGGAAGATTCATTAAATCGACAGAATGTGAGTCGTTGTTTTTTCGATCGAAAAAGACTAATGAATTCAAAATCAGTACATCCAATGACGATAAAAATTTTTTCTTTTCACACCTCTATGCTTTAGTATGCAATCAATAAATCGTCTTCTTAGGTCTTATGAAAAGCTCATATCGATTTTTCAGTTATTGATGTAAAATACGGGAGAAGAGGGCTGAAAATATCCACGGAAATATCATTGTAAGAACTTTTCAAATAGCTAGTGGTGTAATAATGTTTTTCTTTTGTCGCCGTCTTAACGGAAACATAGAAATACCGATTAAAATTCTGTATATAAACTTTAGAACTATGGATCTTTAAAATCAGTGACATCGACAATCAGGGTAACGGTTATGACTGCTGTAAGAAAATGATTTTTAGAAAAGGTTTGTTTTGAAAAATAAAAATCCAGCAGTCACAGCATCAGCCAGTAATAACTCTCATTTACTGGACTATAGTGTTATGGACGAGCAAAATATGAATAACAGCCGTGAACTGATACAAACGGGTTTTAAGTTAATCTTTTATTTTGCTACAATAACCTTTGATTTTAGTTCACGGAATTACTGTTTGTCTGAAGAAGTGTTAAGACAATCCTATTACTTCATGATCTTCGAAACTCATCTCGTGAATCTAAAAATCTTCAAGCTGTTTCACTCTTTTGTTTGAAGACTTACGGATTTATATTTCGGATCGCATCTTATAAACGAAATCCTGTTGTTATTGCTTGTAGTTTCAGGCCGGCGCTGGTTTTAGAAAATCCAAAAGAATGTTAGGACAATAAAAACTGAAAGCAAACAAGATAACGCTATTGTGTATTATTAAAGGCTCGTGTCGCTTGTTTCCCTTACCCCCCTATAAAGGCCCCAAAACCTTCATTTTGAAAGGTAGACAAAGCAAAGAACGTTTAATCAGCCCACTGCTATAATCTTATACCAGTTCCATGTTTAACCTCTGTATTTGCAGATCATCATTTTGACTTATGCTCGGAACCTTAGATAAGCTTCAACAAAGTAAAACCAACTCAGCGAGTTTATTTTTAAAAATGACAACAACAAAAAAAGACATATATACACAAAATGCTTCATTCCCAGAACGTTTTTCAACTGTCTGGGTTTGCAACGAAAGCATTACTCATGAACATTTTGGATTGGACAGTTTACGTAGCACCAGTTGTATAAATTCGTTGAGTAGCTTGAAAATCTACTAAATAACACCAACCTACCTTGACAGCGACATACGGGCCGCGGTCGTAACCGAGGTTAGAGCTGATCCAGAAAACAAAGACACCATTTCGTATCTTTAACCTTAGTTTGTAATCTTCCTAAGTTAATTTTGACTATCTATCTCATCACTCTGTTTTTTTGGAAGTTTGTGTAAAAGTTCTCCATCTCACTGTTCTCCTCTTCTCTCAGAGAACTAGCAAAATCCATGGCAGTGCACAGAATCCCTCATTTTAGGCAACGCCTTTTGCTATATGCACTGCCATGACGTCAAAATGCCAAAAACGTATCCAAAAATGATAAAAATGCTATACTCTCGCAAAACATGTTACTATCTTTTAAAACAGTGTTTCAGACAGAATAGTTGATGTGTTTGACAACTACATCAAACTCTCTTTCATTACAATCCCAAGCAGAAATTAAATTTTCATAGCAGCTGAGCACTTCTTCAAGAGAATGATTCTAAGTAATTCTCTATGGGAGTACTCATAAAATGCGACGTCATGCTAATTTGAAGTTTATAATACAGTCCCTAAATGTAGCATCAAGGACATGGACGGGCATCAAAGTAACGAAGACTTCATTGGTCATTTATATATCAATTTCATGAAATCTTTATGAAACCGTTTGAGCGACAATCACGCACGAAACATTTCGTTATGACGCGTTATGAAACTGACCATTCATCAATGGAATTCCCCTAAATTTCATGATGAATTGCTTCATTTCGTTTCCGTTTCGGAATGCACCTTGTCCCATCCTAGGTGTTAAGAGCTTAGGGTTAGGAAAATATGACTTTAGTGCCTTCGTGCTCTGTATCATTAATTGAGCAGGCAACCTGTATAAGACGCGGACCTCACTTGAGGATTGATCAGACATATCTTATATCTTAGCACATATAAAATGAGAAACCAGATTGACCTGACAAGGAAATGCCATATTTGTCTGACAATTTCAAGCTAGCCGAAGCCGAGAAACTACCAGGTCAACACTAGATGGTTCACTAAAAAAGCCGCATTTCTTATTCATTTGGTATGACCTGCCGCCCTCAGAGAAATGGTCTTCTTAGCTGCTTTAAAATTTTCCCCACCATTAGTAAAAATGATCGTATATTGTGTTTGATTACGTGATCTTCCATCTTGTAGAATGTGTATGATCTGATTAATGAAAGATTGGTAGACTTCTTTTTCTCATCAAGCTCCCGATGACTTCCGCTTGAAAATTAAGTACTAGCCCTTGCAGCCAGTATTAGTATACATGGCAGAAAAGGAAATTCTCCACAATCCTTTCACCTACTTAAATCGTTGGGAAAAACATATGTTCCCTAGAATTAAATCATAGATAGCATTAAGCTCTGCCCTCTTTTCTTTTAATGCATCAAAACTCAGCGTGTTGCCTATCTCATTTCAACTATTATGAGTACATTTCAACGCCCAGTTTTAAAACAAAGCAAACTCTTAGCACCTGCGCAGAATGAACAAGGTCAAAGTTCGCCTTGGAGAGGATCTGGCTGTCTACCCGTCTAATTTAGGTCTTTTTCTTATAGGTTAATCCTTGCTAATCTTTCGTAATCTATCAAGCTTCAAACTTTGTATTGGTCTTAAAAACATCTCCGGAGCTATATATATAAACATTACATTGTTTCTCAGATTAGGGGGTGACCGAGAAAAGAAAACGAATTTTCTGCTTCCAAACAGCCTCTAACCACACTGCATCCAAAATTACTTTTTTATAGTAGAGGATTTATTTGCTTTAAACACCTCAGCTATCTTCAGTGGCAGTGCCAAACCTTCATTAGTTGAAATGATTTCCATGATGTTTCAAAAATAGACGTATCACCCGATTTAAATGCAATTAACGTAAGCTCTGTTCTGCAATGTTAACTATTTCGTCAGACCACTACCACCACGAGTCAAGCGTCGGTGAATTTCTAAGTTTACTGTTAACCTTCAAAGTGAAAGACCCACATACGATGTACAATTAGAAGGAATTTTATATTCCCGACTATTCAAGGTGTTCCCATCCCAATTCTCGGCTCAGGCGCAAGAAAGAAAAAGGCCAAAACATTTCATACATCAACTAAAATTTTTTTCCCACGATATCATGCATACAGTATTTAGAAGGTCGCCTTCGTTAATTTTACAGTCGCAGACAACTCAAAATTAAAAATATCAAGTTAGGAAAACCAGAATAATTATCTAGCTTTAGAAGGGATTAATCTTACAATTTGAGGGTTACGTTTCGTTTAGATTGGATGATATATTATTCAGAAATTAAAGGACCTCAGACTAATATCTTGGTCTTTTGAACAAACCATTAACAAATGAAACTGCCACAAATTGCCGCTGATCTTAAAGAAAGTAGTGCTATTGTTTTATACGTGAATAGATTGAGCCAATCAAGGGTCAGCGACCTCGAGGGTCATTCTAAAGTTATTACCTTAAACCAACTATCGTAAACATTCGTCTTGGATCACAAGCATTGTTCTTTAGTTACTTTTGAGACTTGACGCAAACAACAGGGACAGTTCGCCCGCTTTTTTTTTCCGATGGGAACCTTCCATATATGATGGAAATAAACTGTCTCGCGAACATTCTTAGCAACGGATTGCGGCCATACAAACAAATTTAGAGCTGTCATAATCAATCTACAATCGAATTTGCAGCGTTTCGAGACGTCTGAGGATCAACATTCTGTTTAAAATGCTCGAAACTCCTCTGTGGAATGCAGTCTCCACACGTATTACAGACGGTACGAGACAATTTTCAATTATCCTAAATTGGCTTTTAAAACGATTTCTTTTTTGCGCAGTATATAGACTTAATTCTTCCGCAGAAAGAACATCTTGCACGGAGGATGTTTGTAAGTTGAATTAATAATCAATTTAGTTTTGACTCATTTACTTATTATTAGACAAACTACGAGTACCGTAATTAGCTTTTTATAGACGCTGTTGGACAATGAAAGGCTCCGTGAAGAAGAAAGTTTAAAAATAGCTAATTGATTTGATTCGATCTCATGGGTATATGGAGAATGTATATATATATATACGATGCCTAGCTTAACGTTGACTGATTTAAACCAACAACGAAACTAGTAAGGCAGTCATTTCCCGTGAAATAAAAATTATGTTACAGTTTGCAAGGAATGGAACGTATTGAGCATGCTCTGTTCGACTGGCCCGTTATGTGCAGCTCTAGAGGTCACAGTTTCAGTTTTTTGCGAGGTTGTTTTTGCCATCGTTGGTGCTCTCTATTCAACCTTTTGCCGTTTTATTTTCAATTTCATATTATCCTATTTCAATTGGAATGCAAATAACAGTGTTGAGTAATTTTCAAGAAACTGTTAGATACTTAGGTTAATTCCGACGAAAACTAATCTTCTTAGTCGCCTACACTTTTTTTTCTTACAACACTGGATCGGTGAGCAAACAGCGGTACACGAAATAACAGTAGAATAGTCACATAAAAGGGAGTGATCCACAAACCAGGAGGATTATTAATCCATCCCGAGAAAAGGACATGGAATCATTTAATAATATATCAACAAATGCTTCGTGATGTTTACCGAGCAGAGTGGCACGGCACTCGGTTTTGCTTGAACTGTGTGACAGGAAATATATCAATCATAAGGACTGAATGAAGCTAGAACCATGCCGTACGACATTATCAACAGAAACAAATGAAGTGCCCTTCCGTACAGTTCAAGTGAGAAAAGTCCCATATACAACACTTCCATCCACATTGAACTAAAAATTGAATTAAAATTCAACATTTCAATCGAGTTCTAAGAAGTTCAACAGCAATTACTATATGGGACTCACATATCTCCGATAACTTTTCGGAGCACCAGTGGGAATAATGATAAGACAAAGATCACGGCTTCCACAAATTATGGATACACGGGTAATTAATAAGGGTACGGAATTTATGGCTCAACCTCATTTATTCTAGCATCATTTATATCTTTACCTTTCTTTTACTTTGACAATGTTCACCGAATATAATCACCGTATTGTTCTTTGAAATTCTCTACCCTAAATGTATATCAAGTAAATTTTTTTACTTCGGGTTTGTAAGCAAGAAAAAGCAACACAAGGGAATTTGACCGTGAAATTATAAGTCATAATTCGATCAATGACACCTCTCTTTCGTTTCCGTATCCATCCACTCAGAGAAACTAATTTACTTCGTATTTTGTAAAGATCAACAAGTATCGGGGACGTGTATCAGTGGCTGATACAATTCTTTTATTCAAAATAAATGATATGAAAAAAAAGTCTAGCTAATTTTCTCGATTCAGTTCCGTCGCTATCTTAACTAAATTTTGTCCTAAGAGTACCTCCATACATCCGAGTTGTGTACCAATTCTGTTTATGCTTGTGCAAACCATTAAGTTGATGCATTCAGAAACATCTACGTGTAATAGAACTTGCAGCGTATCATGAAAGCAAGCTCACATGATGTTGATCTGGGTTAATCGCGAACCCTGAAGTTCTGTGGCAATTTGCCAAAGAAAAAGAACAATTCTATTTCCAAGGTTTCCACCTACGCTAAGATAAAAAGGTGAGCACAATTGATTGGCCTCACTTTAGCTTATTTGATGTGAAACTTTTTCTTTATCTTATTTACTATCTCAAGAACAAAAACCAGCTCCTATAAACATTCCAACAAACTAGATCCTTTAATAGGCCGGTCGGCTCATTCTTTGCTCCTCTTCATCATAATGGCCAGGTTAACCTTTGAAAGTATTGTTTTTTTGATTACTCTCGCGACAAAATTCTTGAATGCCGTTTTAAATACTGTTTAGAGAAAAATTTAATGCAGATCCCTATTGAAGACTAAAAGGGTCAAATACTTGGCCACACTCTTCCATTCATTTTGCACTCTCCTCACCCTCCAGTTATGGGCCATTGTGTAATAGAAATCAAAATATATCGTCTCAAATGTTAAAATTTTCATTTTAAGTTCACTGATTTTCTCTTCAAGTTTCTAAGTTTAATGACCTCCAATGAGTACGCCTACAAACATCCTCGTGAAAACGTCGAAAAAAAATTTGAAGCGTGAAATATACATTATGTACACGACCTCGGCAATCGGATTTGTGCGCAAAGCGGACAGCTCCCCCAACACGAACATCTAAGCCAAGCTTTAGCTTTTAGCTCACAAAATAATGAAAATATTCCTGAGTATAACTACGCTTATCCTCAAAACAGGCCCAGTGACCCTACCCAATCCCATTGCTTCGCTTCTGAACGAATATAACGAAAGTTATCGAAAAAATATCAAAAATTTAAGCAGGGAATTGAAAAAATATGTGATCATGAATCACCATTAATGTTCTCTTTCCTCTGATAAGAATTCAGCGATCGTGGTCCATGTTCCGTGATAGATTATGATAAAGCCGTATTAAACCCACAAATCAACTTTACTCTTCAGTAGCCCCGTGATAAGGTCATGCCTGGCTCATGCCGTGTTTTCCTTTCTATAACGCAGGCATGTGCATTTATTTATCTCAAAACTGCTTTCGTGAGGTAGCTTGGGTCTTCTATACGCTATGCATTCTTGCCGAATTACGCTACAGCAAGGGCCAGTAAAGAAATTGTAAAAACTCTTTTGGTAAGTTTGTTATCAGAGAGCAGATTCTAGAGACTAAATCGGATCGGATCAAAGGTTCGAGTTACTACGAGATGCAAACGTTAGGCTTTTAATTACTTTTACGTCCGAAAAAACTGCAAGTGGACTTCGTCAATTGTTACAAATTGAACGAGGTTACGAATAGCGTCAATGGTTGAATTTTGATAAGCTCAAAAGTCACGACCGACGGTACTCCATGAATTATAGACCATAATTGTGCATGTCAAACATTGGTGCAAGAAACGACCAAATGTCAAGAATACCATGAACAATACCACCAAAATAGAGGTTGTCTTAAACATCTTAATTTCTTCAGTATAGTAAAACTAGATGAACGATTTCGTGAAGTCATTAGGGTCTCTTTGGATCCAGTAAGATTGTTTTCACAGAAAACACGATTTTGATCTCTTACATTAAGGATCAAAACCTTTCTACATTTACCATTACGTTTAACAGGATTTTTTTACGACGCACATAGTATGAAAGATAATTTTACTTAGAGACAGCGAGTATCATGGTTGATTTACGCCGTGTTACCTGCTCCTAGAGAGCGCATATTTCTTTTCAATTACTAGTACAATTTGTCATTTTCCGGTAATGGCATATTGGAATTTATAAACATAGCATACACTTCCTGCAATTTGTTGACTAAACATTCAATCCTTGGGTATCTTACCTAGGCTTAAAAAAAAGCAAAAAAACTAATTTTTTAGAATTATAACCTAAAGTTTAAAGAATCATTATTGAGTTAAGATGGCCTTTTACATGAGTTCTGATTCATGGAAGCTATCTCTGAGTTCCTCGACAAAATATAACTGCCAGTTTACGTGATCTCGTGACTATTTGATTGTTTTAATAATCAGCTTAGTTTGACAATCAAAGTTTTCGACTCAAATCTGGTTAAGAAACTCACAAGCCGTAATAAAAACTGTTTAATCTCGGAAAAGGAAAACCTATAACCAGTTTGTACGCAAAACAACTGTATATACATTGGTCAAAATTAATCATCTTTCCTTTTTAATTTCTATGACCATAATTGTCGCCAATAATCACCTTCCGATGCAAATTTTTCATCTTGGAAGACTCCTGTAAAAACCGAACTGTTGCTGGAAAGAGTCACCGACTTTCTCTCATCGAGGAATTTTCATCTAAAAAGTTTATCTGAAGAACAATTATGACCTTAAAAAAACTGTAAACAGGTAACCGACGGATGGAAGATAAACTTTTTTATACTTTTATGAGATTTAGAAATATAGAAAGTAAAGAGTTTAACGGAAGTAAAACAATGAAAACTCGTAAGTTTTCTGTTTCTTTGGTAGTTACGTGTTTCTAAAAGTATTCGATTAAAGTTTTTCAAGCAACATTTTAATACTCTAGTTATTAAAAATATGTTAAATGCCGTAAGCTTAAAATATTCTCACGTATAACAGAAACGTTTAAAACCAACCAAAGACCTGGATAGGTCGTGTGTGGGCATGCGTCAGCATATCGCGCAATTTTAAATCACATTTGAACTTGTTATGTCACGATAAAGTGATTTGTTATTCCTTTGTGATGAAGATCCTATCTTTGTCATTCGCCTTTTGGTCCTGTAAAGATAAATTGCTAAACAAAATTCACTTTGTTCCCCTTTTTAACCAAAGTTATACCTTTCGTGCGATGTTGCTGCGCGGCGAAGCAGGGTTAAGCATTCCCTTGGTGGATTTGCAAATTTGGCGCAGTCCCGCTATCACGCAATGACTGGATTCATCGCGTGTTCAGTAGATTGTTGTGAGCCCTCCTTACTCGATGAGAAGCCCGTAATAATCAATCATATAAGAAGTCTCATTAGCAAATAATCTCTTTAAATCCCAGTGTAAACTATGATTTGACGACACCACTACGCTGTAGGAAGAAACATCCTCATTGATCGGTAAGAATTCTGGACACTGGCGGATTCTTGGTAAAAGGCTAGAGATATTTCGAAGAATCAGAGGATTCGTACATAGGAAAAGGCTATGAAAACGTTGTTTTCAAACCGGTAATCTGGCCTTTATCCGAAAAAATGCAATACGTTAATCTTTTTATTAAAATTTAAGCTGCAGTATTACACCAGTATTTGTTTAGCGCACAAACTTCAAATCTTTAACCCACGGGTTCCCTCTTGTGATTGTTCTTTCGCTTTAAATCAACATCAACATGCATCTTCAATAAGCAACTGGCGTTTAGTCGCTTTTATAAGAAATACGTAGTGTTTTCAGGAGACAGACTCGCATGCCACATTAACTTTGTCAATCTCCAGTTATAGTCAGCTAATCGAAAATCGCTTTAAATCATTTCCATCCGACTGCCCGTATAAATATATAACGCTAATACTAATACTCTATAAGCATTATCCTTTCAAAAACACGTTTCGTAACTACAAGGAATCACTGGTCTCGTAAAAATAATTTTGAAGTCATTTCGTGTATCTTCTACGGTACTGAACTAGCAGTGCTTTAAACACCGCCTTGGTATTTTCCATGTATACATCTGGCATTGGAATTTTTTCCTGAGCGAAACAAAAAATGTCTCAAAGGTATAAAGCAGGACTAGACAGGATTAGTAAATGCCTTAAAGAGTGACAGAATTAGGCTTTCACAATGAGCTCACAGAGTAGTTACTTCTTCAATACTAAACAAACAACCCATCACGCATATAATGCAAGACGGATGAGGAATGACGGATGCGCTTAACTATGCGGTACAAAGCCAAAACGGGGACAGTCTACATATTCAGAGTCAACAGTCAGTTAGTACATAGAAAGCGAGAGGATAGTTCTCGGTTCAGCTAAGGAGGCAAGGTATCCCAATTTTTTCTAAATATTTTACGGTCTGTATTGGTCATGTTTTAATTAAGCGAAGGTTTATTTCGAAGATTTTACCACATTGGGGAGGAAACTGTTCCACAACTAAAACTAAGTTTGAATTAACAGAGCACAACTAAGCTCAGTGGCTTTATAGAAAGTACGACTTCCAAAAGTTTTTGTATTTTCAAAGGATGCATTTAAGGCAGAGAATTCAACTGGGTTAAAGCTGAACGTTTTATCTATTGATGATGAATGATCAATAATTGCCAATTTCCGTTCAAAGTATATATTTCCTAATTTAACGCGTTTCATAAGCGTCATGAATTTGCCTGAGCACAAATTCATGATTATCTATAGTTTTACCACAATTTAAAAGTACCTCTCTCTTGGCTCCGATAAAGAAGAATAAATGCGGGATCAACAAGTAGCACGTCTGGCATAAAATAAAAATATTAGTTTCCTCAACAGTGATGTTTCCGTATGTAAAAAAACGAGAAAAAAAGCATAACTCGTTCCATATAGCAGTCCAAAAAGAGAAAAGCGACTGCGATCCGATGTTTGCAGTATGACTACGCATGAAATAACAGAGAATCCTCTAACATATGTTCTCAATATTCCTGACAGCTTCTGAAACGCGCTCACTCCTCCTTGTTGTAAAAAAATAACGCTTATGGACATTTAACACCAGGTTAAAATTCAACAATGCGGAAGGGTTAGCTGGTGGTGAGTTAGGCGGCAGAAAACGGATTTTGTTCTCTATATTACCAGGGCAAACCATTATTACTTTCGCAATTCTAGTAACGATGACCAGAAATGCCATAAAAGAATAATGATAATACTGGCCCTCTTTGACATGGCTGGTACCACTGGCGTGGGGCTGGAATAGCGTGACAGAAATATAGGATTACCAAAACGTGCACGTCCAAAAATACTGTAAAGCGATTTCAGCGAGGTTAAGAAGGGATCAACCGTGTTATGTTTGGCTGCGAACGGAAAAAAGATTTGTATTTTGTGGCCGGTGACGTATCTTACATACTTGGCGAAGTGGCGCGATTATGCGCGAACAGAGACGAGTCACCTGTAATCCGCCCTCTCGAGGCAAGAAGCTAGCAACTGAAATGGCTGAAAATCACGTTAACCAACTTTTACCAGGATAGTTTAGTTTTGTGTTATGTCATTCCGATAATCACGAGGAAGCAACGTGTTTGACTTAAGTTTAGAGCAATTTTTTCGAAGCAATTTTAAGAAATCTCTCACTTAAATTTCAATGAGGGGAAACGATAAAAGAAAAAAAAAGTGTATACTACTGATTTCTACATAATGGCAAATGCGAAACCATTGCGACGATTGTTTAACTATTCAAGAAAGTTACCACAAGAGCTATATGTAGCTTTGTTACATAAATCGCTCACAAATCGTGAATAACAGACTCAAATATACTTTATTATAAACAGTTCCTCAGCAATGGAAAATATACGTTTTGCAAAATAGTGGAATGTTATTTAAATATTCTTCTTATATCTATAGTCACCAATTAAACCTTTTTGAAAGTAGGCGGTTGAAAATGAAAAGGCAATGGGCTTATTTCTATTTTTTTCCAAAGCTGCGTCAATGCTGGTTAAAAAGATCTTCAGACTAGTCAGAAAAATTACTGAAACTAGACAGCGGGCGTTGACGAGTCTAAACTAAATTGAATTAAAGAAAAACAGTTCACTAAAAGGATATTACATTTACAGTCACTTTTCTTTGCGGAAAGGGATTAACAAAATGAAAGATAGAAAGTAAGACTATGCCCAGTAAAATATCACACACATGAGCGATATACCTCCATATATAAGATAATCACCCAATTCATTGTATTAATCATTTAGTAATACAATAAAACTGAAGTAACCGAGGCAATTTCCGTATTTTTATGATAGAAGACCAACGGTGCTGCTTTATGTTTTTTCTAATTTTAGAAAGCTGCCAAAATATGTTTAAACGTGTTAAATTTACTCATAACCATACATCATATCCGTTTGAGTGGGATTTTTTCGTCTCCTGTCAGTATAATATAGATCGTAAGGTTGTGTCATGCAGTTTGTTACCAAAAGTTACGAAAGAAGGGCGTGCATATTGTCGCAATTTTAAAGGCACTTAGCTCACTGGTTTCCAGAAAACATCATGATCTAGGATGATCATAGTTTTCTACTTTAATTAACTACCCTTTGCTTCGTTGTAGGCGTACAAAAGCCTCTTCAAGGAGGTCTACAACACTGCAATTTTAAGCCTATCAATCATTGTCAGTTGCGCGAATTTCTTGAGCAAACGATCGGCATTACAAACAGATTGATATGTGTACATAGTGATCTAACTGGTTTAGGTAATGTAGTACGGATGCTCTTTCCTTTAAGCGCGATTTGCTTTACCCCACTGCTAGGAAATGAACAACGCTCAAATAGCAAATGAAATGAAGGGTTTCGGCATGACTGTTTTGATACTAAAGCTCGAACGGATTACCTTTTAATATCGGTACACTTTTCATAGTGTATATATAATTTTACAGATTGACGCCCTTACAGGAAGTGTTTTGTGACTGAGTTACGGTATATACAGTCTCACAAAGCAAAGTATTAGACGTCTTTGAATGGCGGCCTAATCACAGCCTAGAAATTTTGGAAAAAAAGTAAGGAGGAAGGGTTTGGTTAGAGCAAAGAGAATCCTTTCAGTGTAATTTTTGCTATATGCCATGTTATCAATAGTTACACAGTTAGGAAATCGTTATAGGATTTTGAGCTGTCTCCACGCCTATTTATCACTTTGTTTTCAAACGAAGATGAAAAGAGGTAAATTGTCTTTCTTTACTTTCAACCATAGCTACGCGATCTGGTTCCATTGCATTAACTTCTTTAGTAAACTAATGGCGTAAAAAAGCTTACATTAGTCCAACAACTTTTTTCACTTTATCTTGCAATAAGTCCAAAATTTGTTATAGGATTTCGGGGTTGTCTCGTCGTCTTTACGCTTATCAACTTAGACAAGAATAAAGAAGCAGAGAGAAGTAACGAAAGTATCAAATCTTCTTATAAATTGCTAAAATCACTCGGTAATCTTCTAGATTTAGGCGATTCGATTAGAAAAAGGCGGGGTTCATATAACTCATGTCTATAAAGGCTATTATGTAAAACCAGGGCTTTCACTATGTGAGAGAGAGCTGCTAAGTAAGCCCATCTTCTTCGCTAAGTCAGCACGTTACTTACTGTGTGAAATGAGAATTGCTAGCACGTTAAAATCCTCTTTCTATCCGCAGAGAGCTGAAGTAGAGACAAGAAGCAACATCCTCTCTCACCTTTGTCACCAAGGCTAGCTTTCAGTGGGACTTTCCTAAACCATTTTCAATAAAACCTCAAACTTACTTTAAAGATCATGGAGTCAGATTTGAGTTCTTCTTCATTTTCTATTGATAACATACTGAAACCCGACAAATGCGATTCTACACAAGAACCTCGCTCTGCAGACCGAGCATTAACGTTAGCAGAACGTCTGGCAGGTGAGCCGCGAAAAGTTTTGTCTCTGACCCCTCCTCGCAGCGTTATGAAAGAGAAAATTTCTTTCAATTAAATTTCCCTCAGAATATTCATAGTCGTTTTTGTAACTTAATTTCAAAGTAACTTAGATATATTGACAAGAACTTGAGACCCTTTAGTAAAGGGAAGGCCCTAAGAGGAAAATATTCTTTGCATTCGCTGTTTCTTTATATGTTCTTAAAATATTTTATGCTTAAGCAAAGGCAAAGAGAACCTTGGCCAAGAGCTGTTTACGAGGAATCGGAAGCCATGTGTTTCCGCGCTGACACAAAATAAGTCTCCAACTCATTCCTACGGCCAATTCAGCTACATTGGAGTCTGAAATCCCTACTGCACAGAGTCCTCCTCAACCCACCTTTTAGGGACTAACTCATTAATAAGTAGAGAAATGTAGAAGCTCATGAAATGCTTTAAGTAACATAAAAAGGCCAGTTTTAGTTTTATTTCCCAATTAGTAACAGGTGAAGCCAGGAGTGTACGTTTGCAATTTGATTGTTTTTTTGATGGTCTTCTCTCGATATTAAACATGCCAGTTCAGCCCAAGTTCATTTTTCTTCCAGATATAATACTTGAGGTACATTATGGTTCATCCAGAGGGAAACATCGGCGAACACGCACCGCCTTCACCCACCAACAACTACAGATACTGGAAAACACTTTCTCAAAGACGCATTATCCGGATGTAGTGATGCGGGAGCAGTTAGCGGCCTACATTAACATTCCAGAATCACGAATTCAGGTGAGGCCTGAGTCGCAAGGGACACTTTAGGAATCTTCCACAGGGATTTACCGCCTGATTCTCCAAATCCCCACCCGTTTCCAAGCTAAAGCACGCCATCTTACATACTTGTTTTCTGACCTGGCCTATTAAATCCCTTCCTGTTTTCAGACCTGAAATTTGATGGCTGCACGCGATTTGATGACTCGTTGTTTTATTATAAAGCAAGATCAATAAACCTAAATCACGACACTGATTTGTTCTGGGAATCTTTGAAAATAGGAAAAAAAATTTTATAAAACTTTTCACCTCGGTGGATTTAGGAGTCAAGAGTAAAACGAGCAGAAAGACAGGGGTAGAACCTTTAATGTTAGTTCGTCAGAGCCAACATATACCAAAGAGGCAGCAATAAACCAAAAGGGAAAAAGTCTGTTAAAGGATGGAGATTATTAACTCGGATTAAAATTGACGGACTTAAACAATTTGGACTGAAGTGTTAAGAGGTACTCACCGTGACGTGGCTCTTCAGTAGTTGCTGTCACACCTTTTGGTAACCCGTTTGCCTCTTTGGCTTCAAATTGAAAAGCGATAAATCAATTTCCTCGAATCTAACTGATTTTCAGAATGAACTTATCGACACGTCTTTTTGGTCCCACTTTTCACTGGCACCGAAACCATTCAATTTTGACAATACGTCGCTGGTTATGAAAACCTTTCTCCAAACTTGAGATTTGACGCATATTGGCGGCATAAGTGATCCCTCACACGGCATGCTATACGAAACGATGTAAGGCCTACTAACGAGACATTCTCCCTATATCCCCCACAAATAGCATTCCTTTGCACAAGATCATTGCTTATGCGCATGAAATGCGTTGAAAAGCTGACATTTGCGTTGTAGGTATGGTTCAAAAACCGACGAGCCAAGTACAGGAAACAGATGAAAGACGGAGAGGAGCTAACAACGAGTGAAATGGAAAATAAAGCCCTGGAGAATCATTTCAACAGCCATGATGCGCCATGGAACCCGCAACATTTTTACACAACCAACAGTCTGCCCTTCGGTCCGGGAAGTGCTGTTTCACCCCACAGCAACTTCGCACCATACTCCTGGTCTGCCGTTCCTTTGTACGCTTCCAGCCCATGTGGTTGCTTACCATCGTATTCAGATAATCAAAGGAGATCCTCCTGGTCGTGCACGGCATGTTACGAAAATACAGATGTAAAAGGCCACTTACAATGAGCGTGATTTGTTTGAAATAAGTCATAAACGTTAAAATAATGTAAGAGGGATTCAAACTCAATAGTTAAACGATGTTCCCAATATCATCACTAGATTTCGTCATTCCCATCGTTTTTATATTTTCCTTTTTTTGGCTGAACAAAACTTGGAAATTACAGAAAATAGTTACGCTTAAAAGTCGTTTCATTCGTGTATTTTGTAACTGTAATTGTTTGTCAACAGCCAATTGTACATATGTCGAACTGTGACGTAAAATGAAAGGTCTTCCAGCCAAGGAAAATAAGGATATTTCGGGTGACGTGAACATGTCAAATATATAAACAGGTTATGTATAATGAAGTATTCCATTTATTTCTCTTAAGTCAGGGATCAAGGTTACATTTGGATAAAATGCTATTACGTAGAAAATATCATAAAATTGAGTAACTAAGGAAAAAATGTGTATAAGTTATATATGTTTACCATAATAACATAGGTTTCTTATTTTAAGTTAACAATTGTGACAGCTGATATACGGAAAACTCATCCTAGAATAAAAATATATCATAAAAATGTGATAATTCTTCCAGCTTTGTTTTAATTCAGCTTAAAATAGATGAAAGTCTGGTTCGGGGATTAAACTAAAAGATAGTTCGGGTTCTTATAGAAAGTAAAGGAGCCGACAAAGAACTATGACACTGCAGACATGATATTTTCCTCACTTTCCGGATTTTAGGTAATTACAGGGTCAACCACATCAACGCGGTTTGTTGTTATAGATTGCTATTACAGAGGCGGTGTAGAAATTCCATTCGAAAACTTAGTTTGTCCTATTTCTCTGGAGTTAAAACATGTCAACAGTTGTTGGATGGTGTTTTAAGTCAAAAAGTGATATTTCGATTGAAGTTTAGACCTTATTTTCGCTATTCTGGCCCCAAATGTTAGCGAAGAAAACTATGAATAAAATCTTTGAGCAATCGTGACAGTAAATACCATAATAAAAATCCAGTTACAGCTACGTCATGGCTAATGCATCTTAAGAAATTATCGTCAGTTATGTTAATCTTCGCCATTCTTAACCATATTTTTCATGTTCAGTTGATTCCTACACCGTTTTGGTGTTTGAATAGTCATTCAAACTGTTACTTAAGGTTTTCGTCTTTTTCAAAACAATTAATTTTTTTAACGTGAAGGTGATAATGCCTATCAAAGGACCAAATTTAAATGAAACACAAACCGAGAAAAAATAAATCTTCAAAAGTGTTATCGTCTTTTTGCTGAATTGTTGGGTAGATCATCTATTATTCCCATTTTGTTCTTATTGCTTACATCATGACGAGCTCAAAACCATTCTTTCCCATTAATCTTATTAACCTTAATTCTCAAATACACGAAATCTCTCAATCAACTCCATTCTGTTAATTTCTTCACTTCCGCCTTACTCTTGTGTGTCAAATCAAGACATTCGGATGAAAAAATACTCACGTCATCCAAACAAATTTGGCTTCAATTGTGCCAGAGTTTACCGTCTGGTGATGTGTATTTGACGTCACTAACACCATGGATGGACAAAGTACTTTTCAAGCTACATGTTCACATTTTTGACGCATTCCCGCATTCTTGAACTTCTTTCCATTTAAGACAGCATTTTTCATTTTTTGGGTCATGTTTGTTTATTTTTTACATTAGTTTGTTTTATTTTCGCTGTGAATGAATGGCAGACTTCACGTTGCACGCTAATTTTGTTTTTAAATTACTAGTTACCCTGGAGTGGTTAATCCATGCATGATTCATTTATGAGCGGGAGATCGAAAACAACATTATCTAGCTAAGGTTTCTCCTTCTTTGTTCATGAGAGAACGCGAATAATACTTTCCTTCACGTTTGTCAGCGTTAGACACTTTTAATTGCGGACTAATTCCTACCTTTTTGATCTGTTTTGTTAGTCAAAATTAAAATTCACGTTTCATTTTGGTTACCTTAAAAATTCCACACTGTGAAATCGAGCAATATTTGTGCGCACATAGTGCAAACCTTTCGCTTTGACTTTTAAATATTAGCAATGTACATGCTATTTGTCAAACGCGCCTCGCTTATAAGCTTAAGTACCAGAAGACTCCTATTTTTCAGTAAAAGTTATCGCGTCCTTCATTGCACTAAAAGTTGTCTGTCTGTTCTTCGCCAATGTGGAACAAATCGACTCAACTGGCAATCGCAATATACATTTTTTAAATTGTAAATTAAATTGGTGGTGAGTTTCATTCATCGGTGGTGAGTTTCATTCCCAGAAACAAACCTAAAGCTGATGAGTCTCAATTTTTCTATTGAACAAGTATGGGTTCAAAGCTCGTACCAGTTTATTTCATGTTTTACACCTACATTGTGGTTTCTTTCAAGGGGTTAAAGGCGCAGATGTAAAAAATTTATCAGTTTCTACATCTGGTATTTATCTTGGTATACAAGGTGCTTCCAGCTTATGCAGATAAAACTTGGAGTGAAATCAGGTATTCCCGCGAAGAGGTGATTATGTATTAAACAGCAGTGTGGTTTTGTTCACCTAAATTATTTAAATTAAAGTCACAGTCTTTATATATTTTCATGAAACAGAAAATTTGATTTTCCTCAGAGAAGTGTCCCAAAGATTCTTTTTAGCAAAGGGAGCTAGGTATAACAGTCGAGACTAGCATGGATTCCGGACGATTTTTGTAAATTAGTTTGCAGTGAAAGCAACCCAAGGACTTTTTATGGTTGTTGGACCTGGGAGAAATTGCTGCAACTCGAGGTATGCATATTTGATAAGCCGATCTTATGACATGTGGATCCCTGACCATTTTGGCTCAGCGCAGGAAGGCACATCGGGCTTCCTCCTTATCTTAAAACTCTTTCGGAAGATCAAAGGAGATCTTGGAAATTTTAAGTACTGTGTGGTCCTCGCTACTTTACGATAGTTAACACCCATAATGAAATTGATGGTTTCATATCCGAGTGTTGTAATCAAAAGAGTCAAATAAATGTTCGTAATTATAATCATCCATGTTATCGTCCTCGTTAATTAGAGCAAGGAGCTTGGAAGTATTTTACCCTTCTCTCAAGAATAATTTGGCGTCAGCACCGGCATTCACGCATAGGTTCTTAAGCCCGATCTCTGTATCAAGAGAACAAAGATAAATACTAAAGTAAGTTAATAAAGGGTACCCTCTAAGAAACCACAATTAAATTGTACTGCGATAAAAAGAATTCCTTCCTTTGAAGTACGCTCACACAAATTTTCCATTAAAGTTTTCCTGAACTACCTTGATTGCTGCTCAAGTAAAGAGCGATAGATTCCTTCTCAAATTAAATTATCATCTATCAAAATCCTTGCGATGACAGGATAATGGTTTTCTATAATACTAGAGAATTCGAACATTTTTGATGTGCTGATAACCTTGGGATTTCGTAGTTTTTCTTTGTTTTTCTTTCATAAGAAAACGTCTATCTCTTACAGATTGTTGAGGATGGTATACACGTAGAAAAACACGTAGAGCTATCAAATATCCCTTCGTTCTCATTCTGTTGTTGCAGTCATTGCTTTGGGCGTTTTCACTGTGTGTGGCCTCAGTACACGTCATATGGGCCAACAGAAATTCTGCTTATTTGTAAACGTTGGTTTTTAGTGGACTCTAACAAAATAATAGAGTAAATGGCATTCAGTTATCAAAATTTGTCAAATTTCAGAAACTTAATAAGGTTTGTCAACTTACACGCGGTATTGCATAAAAGCATAAATGTAATCTTCAGTCATCAGCATGATGCAAAGATTAAATACAAGGGTATGCGAAATAAAGACGGTTTGGTTAATACACAGAAAGTAAATTTTCGTTACAGGTCTGGCTATTTGTCTCATTTAGGATAATAGCAAGGGTATGATGATGATGTTAACGGTCGACTTTGGAAAAGCCAATAATAACCTTCTGAGTAAGAGATCAAATTGCCTTCAGGAAAGTTTCACATGCTCCGCATAAACTGTTATCTCAAAAAACCAGATGCCAGATTCTGATAGACCAAATCATAAAGGAGCTAATAAATCGATGACTTAAATTAAAATAAACTGTGCATGCTGCAAGTTGGACGAAAATTAAAAGGAAGATAAAAAAAATTTAAAAAAATCATAAAAGGTCAATAAGAGAAGAATAAAGGTGCAGCCCGATCAGCTTTAATTTTTCTTAGCCTTAATTGTACCAGCCACACTGAACCATTCTACTTTTGATCAACCCAAATATCATCGTAATTCATACACCAAGATTTAGAGAGAATATCAAATCACTCACTGCACAATCATTTTTATAAGGGCGGAATAATCTTCAATCTTCTGCATTTTCGAATAAATGAAAGCGTGATTTTGATATATCTAATGCATTTGATTACACTTTTGTGACAGAAAAGTTCACTCGATATGAAATATCTAATGAACCTCTCAGCAAATCAGCAAAGCAATGGTTGCTTATCTGTCTCGACTGCCGGTAGTCTTTAACCGACGTTTGATTAAAATCTATCGGCCTTAGTGACAGTAATTAAATCAACTTGTCGTCGCCAGTAAAAATCCCATTCATCTTAATGCTTGGGACTTGATACTGAAATCCCACATTGGAAATCACGACAAACAGTCACTTAAGCGCTTCGTGAGGGTAATCGAGACGAAACGTTTCCTGTGTTACAAATCTGAAGCAAATCATTAATTGTACGTGCTAGTATTTGTCGAAACAAAGTTGCTGCGAAATACCAGCCAAAATTCCCTTCGTGTGTTACAATCAAAGTCCAATTTATCATCTTTGACAGAGTAAAGAGGCAATAGAAATTGAAATTTACGTTAGGCTTCTCAACGACATTATCAACACCGTTCTAAAGAGACGTTAAGGTCTTTGTAAATAATTTGATTTAAACTATTCTAGAGAGCAATGAAATTATTGTCAAGGTAAATCCCCCAAACAGCACTACAAAACTGAGAGTTTAGCCACAGATGTTACAAAATCAGTGAACACGTAGCGGTATCTCCTTAACACTAAAACGAAGTGAAAAGTTCCTTAATGAAATAAATTAAAAGTTTTAAGCCCGCTTTAGAGTTGTTAAGCAAAGACAAACTATCACAGCCGAGCACTGAAGGAAACGACAACCCATGAGGTTTTATAAACAGCTAATAACAGCACTCAAATTCCACCAAATCGGGTAAACTTTGTTTACATCTGATAAGAATGCATGCGATGTAGCCGAATCGAAAACGATTAGTATGCGAAAAACGAAATTCAGCCGTTACGCGAGAGGTGTAATATAAAGATATTTTTTCTGAAACAACGGAAAAAGTACTAATTGAAAATCTTTTTCTGGAGTTATTAAATCAAGTTGTTCGTGGTTAGGATAAATGCGGTTACCAGATGTTTCTGTCAGTGATTGGCATTTTCAGGACTGAATCTCACTGACGTCTCATTCTCCTGTATAGCCTTCGAAAACAGCGCTTTACTCCAGTCAACTCCTCTTTGGTCTAGCCAACATGAATCACAAAACACTCCCTGAACAAGCTGTGGAATCTGGGCGAGAAATGTTGAACAACGGGAAATCATCTTCATTTATGATGGAAAATATATTAAAGCCCGACAAATTTGCTACAAGACTACAAGAATTTCGTGGTGAGGCTCCATCCAAGATCAAAGCCCTTTCAGTGGCAGCCCAGCTCGCAGGTTTGTTTTGTTTCTCACTGTCTTAATAAGTGTTTACTTGTCAGTATTCGAACAATTTCGATCTATTCCAGTGTATTTATCACCATCTAAAAATGAATGGCGAATAAGCTCTCGGATTAGGAGAGTGTTATGATGAGGAAGATTCTTCCCTTTCTTTGAAGGATTGTCATACAAGCTTTCAGTCCTATCCTATCTAACGGTTCCTTAACACCCAATTGTAAACTTTGGAAAGAAACTTGAAAGTGATCGGTTGAAAAACTTCGGATCAAAACAATATTCCGTGTTGCACCGACATGTTTCCACATCATTATCTCCATAAATTGCCCGGTAACTTTCCTTTCGAAGAGGCAATACTATGTATCTTTGTTTCCAGCAAAATAAAAATTTCATAGAAAGCACTGAGTACTTGATGAGCCTAACTAAAAAAGAAAGGGAAATTCTGGCTGCAATAGTGAATTATGCATACTTAATATTAGTGTGTTTTGAAAGTACTTGAGGAAAATAGTATTTAGCTGGTGTGAGGCGCCGTTTTGTCTCAGCCAAAAGAATCGTCAGATGCCTTTAGGAATTTTCGAGCAAACTCGTCTAGCATCACTCAAAAAGTTCCGTTCGCAAAGTTCAAGAAGTTAGCAGTCTGGCCCTGTATCGTAGAAGGATTTCCAACCGATCACTAATCGCGATCCTGAGTTACATAAAACAATAACAAATAAGCAACTGAGTTTCGGCTTTCCCATTGTTTGGGATTTATAGCAGCACGAAGGTTGAAAATTTACAACCAAATCACGTTAACTTAGTTGATCATCTTTCGCTGCGTAAGAGCGCTTAATTCTAGGAAATTTTAAAATTTTCCAAACTCACATCAAATATAATCAGCTGTCAGTTGGTTACCACCTCAAAAAGTTAAGGTTTGCCTCCCAGTTAGTTACAATTAGCTTTTAATCCACCAATTGACATGACAAACGGAACTGTTTTTGATCTGCTACATAGGAGTCGTAAGAAACAGTGAAGATCTAGATCATACGGAAATCGTAAGAAAGGCATTTACATCTCAAATTGAGAATGATTACTTCGAGTATACCAAAAAGAGTAGCTTGCCCGTCAGGTTGAAGAACGCAATGTTGTGTAAATCATTTTTGCTCTTGAAAGTAGTCCTAGTACGATTCCTTTTATTTTTGTGGGGATGTGGAGACTTCTCAGCTAGACCTTGAGTTGACGCGGAGGCTGTTGCTTTTTTTAAGGTGGGAGTCTTAAAATGTTGGAGTAAATTCACTAACCACAATTTTGAATAACAATGTCATAAATGAAAAACTTACTAACTCCTGCACTGACCCGTGGAAAGGACAACCACAAAACATTTTTAGGATTTATAGCCAAGATTGGTTATCATGGACAAACGATCTGCAGCGAATTAGTCCAACGAATTCTATCTCCAACAGACATCTGAATAACACCATAAATGCACTAGGGTGCCCTATAAGAAATTCGTAGTAACTCATTGAAATATGGTGAGGAAAAACAAATAGATGACTCGATTTTAATGCGATAGAACAACTTCACTTTTGCATTCTTGATAATTTTTATCTTCAAGAGTCAGACTCCTTTTGCGCTGATGCAGGCATGTTGTTGAATATATTGAACTGTTTCCCTTTTTCAGCTAAATCGTTCCGGCCGTAATGAACGCTCGCTCTCATTCGATGAAACTAAAATTGGTCAGGCCAATTTAAGGTTTTGATACGTTTCGTATGGCTAGAATACTGATTCCATCGTTAATTTCACCTCATTTAATAGATTATATAGAGAATTTGTTACAAAGATCGAGTCTGGATGCATTTCTTTGCTATAGTAAATACGCTAATCCAATTTACAAACAATATATTGAAGGGATTCTAATAACTGTAGAAAAGCTTGCAACAGCTAGTTGAGATCTGCTACCAATACAGTATTTAGAGGATTATGATGTCACGATTCTCTCTTTTAGCTGAAATTTAGATGTGACTTCACGGTCAGTTACTCAGAATAAGAACAAGGAATCCAAATTCTCACTTTTGAATATAAACAAATTTGTTTCTGCTCTACTAGACTTAAGTTGAAACCGATTGAATAGGATAGAACCTAATCTTTAAGAGAATGAGACAAATAATTTATGTTGCCAAAAGTGGGCTATAGATAAGAAACGCAAAGGTGAGGTTTTTAGTGGGATTACAGTCGACTGACCACAGGAAACTATAAAAACGATGATTACCAATCTATTCATTGTTTCTCATCGACAAGTAAAAGAGTTTAAGTTCATCTTTAATTTGACGTTATAACATTTCCTAAAAAAATGAGCTCGAAGCAATACTCGTTGACCCAGAAATTCCTCTCAGACAATTAATATACATTTTTTCTTGTAAGCATCCATAAATTTTACTCAGGGAAATATATATTCATTAGACATGGAGACAAACTAAAGCGCATTCCACCAAGATATCTGAACTAATACGAAGGAAAATAAACATTTTCTGCTCAGATTACGGTGTGTTAATCCAAACCTTTTATTTTTGTTTTAGATATCATTCTAGAGGCCCGGCGGGGTTCTTCTGCGACACAGCTACGTCGCTCACGCACCAACTTCACACGTTACCAGCTACGAATTCTAGAAAATACGTTTTCCAAAACCCATTATCCAGATATTGCTCTAAGGAAAGAGCTCGCAACAAGTACAAGTCTTCCAGAATCACGAATACAGGTATATCGGCCTCATTTCAATTTTGCTCGGGTCAAATGACCCTGCCAAATTGTCTCTCTAAGAAAATATGCCATAGAGGCTTTGCACTACTCTAATCTACTTATGAATCCTTGCCATATCAGGCATGTGCCACATTGCCAGTTAGTTAAGCTGAGAGAAGTGCGACTTTTGCAGTGTGCTGTTATGATAGATATAGATTTGTGTAAGAGTATCCACGTGAATTGGAAGTCGATATCATCAGCAATACTCACCGTGAATCTCGTGGTGACGTCTCGAGGCCTCTGGCAGCTTTCAAAAATACCCTTTCATAGCCTCTAGATATCAAAGTTCTATCATGCGTAGGAAAGCCTTTTCGGTACTGTGTTACATCACAACGTTTCTTTCTATTTACCGGCAGATTTGGTTTAAGAACAGAAGAGCAAAGTTCAGACGAAGTGAGACAAGTTGCAACATTTGTTCATCAACTTCATCTCACCATACACCCTACCAGGCATTTCAAAGAGACTCTGCCTATATATTAGGCTCGTCAGTAGGGTTGTCAAATCACGAGAGACCAGCATTTCTCATGGCTACCCATGTGGTGGAAAATAGCCACCAGGGTTTCCACTTCCCACCATACGGCTCCTGTAGCCCCGAGAGTTCTACATAAACACAACCGGACGCACAAACGGCCAGGCCATCACTGGTATTTTTCATTATGCTGCGTCTTGTCTCTTGACTCTCTGCTATGATACCATTGAAACTCTACTATAAGAATCAGGCAGACTTCGAAGACAAAACTGTTGCTTCTATGTAGTCTAAGGCGTTTTTTTAACAATGTCGGGTGAAGGAGCCGTCATCATGGGCTTCACCTCACTATCGTTAACGAATGATTCTTATAATAACAACAATAATAATTATAAAATCTTCAACAAAGCAGACTTTTATAGCTGAACGAGATCATTTACACCCTGCCGGGAAAAACTATCCTTAAGCAGGTGAGACAGACCTCTTTTTGAGATAGAGAAAAACTTGTTGAGAGGTATTTAAGACTGCTTGCCTGGATTAACTAAACTTGATTTAAGTTATTCATTTAAAGGCCAGTTACTGAGTATAAACAAAACGCAATTTATACAATGTCACGTATATGAAACAAGGATATCCATAGTAACATTCTACTTCATTATTTCTCGTAATCTCATAAAGTAAAATTGCAGTCGTCGCTCCTGAAACTTACTACAAGAAAGGAAGCATGTTTATATTTATAAGGAAGATGCACCGTGGTTTAGTTACAATAACATAAGGCTGGTTTTGAGTGCCTCAGTTTACGAAACATCTGCTGTAGCAGTAAATGATAATGACTTTGCTCATTCTCGAATCGTTTTTTTATCTTTTTGCCCAAACAACCCTTTGACCAAGAGTTTACACGCTACCTATGGGAAATAATTCTAGTTCAATTTCTGTTCAAATCCATCTATTCTTATTGCAGCATTTGGCAAAAATAACCTACTTTTACTACACGAAGAAGTATATACTTGCATCATTATCGTCGAAATGTTAGATCTTTAGAAATGAGTTTAGGGCTAACAAAAAATATTTTAAATGAATATTTTTCTCAACGTAAAAGAATTGCTTTAAGAATTAGTTTGCTGAAAATATTTTTCTACTCAATTCAGGCCATAAGATTTCCCTCTAAATATGAAAGGTATATTCTTCAAGGGTAAACTGCATGATTTCAGTTTTGTTCATTACCTTTATTCTTTGTCTTTCTAAGCCAAACCACCAGCCGCTTACATTTTCCCCAAACGTCCCCGAACATGATCACTTGGCTATAAGGCCACCTCCACTGCCTTGATGAAGCGAGGACGCTACTTGTTTCAAGAAGAGGGAAGATGGAGAATTAATTAGCACTGAGGCTAGAATAGCTAACGTCCTTGTCACTGGTTGTATAATGCACCCTACAAAGCCTCTTCATAACGGAATTTTGAGAAAGAATCAGAATTCATTGGACCAGGAGTGACCTATCAGCAATTGATTTCTGATATTCTATTGTCAAAGCAGTCATGACAGAAAATGATAAATTGCTTTTTAAATGAGAAAAAGCACTAAATAGATCCATTTACACTGTCGGTAAAACATGCAGCTCACACACAGCGATAACTTCATAAAACAACAGACAGCAAGGGCCAAGGCAGATAACAGCTGAAAATCGATTGAGGCTATCAAGTTTGGCCTTCTGTCCGAAACCTAAATGAAAAAGTACAAACTAATGTTAAAGCCAAATGTATGAATACATTGTCTCCTATAATCCAAACTTATAGGGCGTATATGGGTTAGATTTCAGTAATAGACATCCACCGCGACATAGAAATTTCGTTGGTAAACAGAAGTATACGTGCTTAAATTGATCTGAGGTTGAAATTTCAAGCTCAGAAAATCAAATCAAAAAAACAGTTGTGTTTGAGTCAAGGGTGCAGCTTTGGATGAAATTGATAAACTAGATTTCTACACGTTACAATCACATCTTCCATCATTCTATTGACATCATGCCAGAGGAACAGACAAATTATTGGATAGCTTTCTCGGCTTACTCTAAGCTGAGGATAACTGATTTAACACGTGTCAAGAACTTAGCAGCGAGTCACAGTAAACTGTGAGTTACATACCACTCTAAAAGCGTAGGGGAAAGTGAGGAAGTTGTACAGGAGGCTGGCTTCAGTTAGTTAAACAAACAAAAGCAGGAGTGTGTACACTGCGACAGTACTGATTTAGTGCAGTGGCGTGTTTGTTTGAAGGTCGTCATGGGGGAGTCAGTGGAAGCACTTCCATTTTCTGTGGCAAACATCTTAAAGGACGATCTATCTAGAGGAGCGAAGAAGAAAGGCCAATCTAACAGCAACGCTAGCAAAGCTTTGACTCTTGCTGAACGACTTGCAGGTTGGTGAAGAATAGCTGTGGTTTAGGAGGGCGTTAAGCCAGATTAGTTTGTAAGAATTCTCATAAGCTACTTACATGCTGCTGAAATGTTAAAGCACCTGATGAAATGGGAGTCATTATTTGAGGCCGGGATTGTACCAGTGATGCTAACTGCCCTTCAGTTTCGTTCAAACCAAAGATCCATGCTACATTTATTAGAAAACGTCGATATTGTTTTTCCAGCCTGAAATGGAAGAAAATTTTAGATTTTTAGCATCATTTATCTGACATCTTAAACGTCGGCTGACCTTCCCAGAGATGTGTTTGCAACACCCATCTAATTATGAGTACTTTCTACGAATATAGATTCCGATGACTAGTAATTGGCGAAAACGGTGATCAAGAAACTACTTGGAGCCGTTTCATGGAAACAAATTTAAGTAGATAAGTGAGCTTACGAAGAATAATAAATAATTTTTTTCGTTTGCTTTTACTGAATAGGAAGTTCGGGTGATACTAGAAAAAATGAAAATATGGCCGCTGCCAACGGCCCAAATAGCGATCAAAAAAGTTAAAACTCTCCTTCAAATGTCTCCATCACGCGCGTCTAACTTATGTTATGTTGTGGGAGCAACGGCATAGTGAATCCTATAACACTTTCAAAGAAGTTTAAACATAAATATCACCGGCCGTTATAGATCAGCAGCATATACGTAAGACGTTTATCTAGTAACTGAATGGAGATCTCAAACGTTTGTACGACACTGTACATCAGTAGGCAACACTTCACTATGGACCCAAGCACAGAGAACTTTCATCAACCTACACTATTATTCATGTCTGTTTTCAAAGCGTACTTCAGTGTTTCTGAGTTAATTGGGGTTCAGTGGTACTTCAGTGGTATTCTTAAGAACCGGGGTGCTAATTTTTTTATAGAATATTCGATCAAATTAGCTGTTTATAATACAGGCGAAGAAGTCGGAAACCTTTCATCGACAGAACCGAATTAATCCTACCGTGAAAATATTACCGGTCACATTCCACTGAAGCCATATCCTGTCAAAGGATTATTAATTGCTCAGAGCCTTTCTGCACTGATAACCGTCAATCTAAGGGTACCACATTAGAAGCCTCCTCTATTTTGTTTAATTGACTCACCAATTATCCAACGCACAGTCATTACCGATCCTTCATTGAGATAAAAACATAATTTGTAATCATCCTGCAAACGCGTTTGTCCGTGAAATGGAGAAGGCGCCAAATTTCTTCAATAAGCAGAAGATTATTCGGAGATAACTAAATGTCTTATTTATCGCATGCAGTTGGATTTAAATGAAATAAGAACTCAGTCGTTGAAATTTTTTGCGGCAACTTTTTTTTAGTTGCAACCGACAAAAGAAAGCCAACTACGCTTGTTGAAAATTGTCAGTGAATTTTGCACCATTTCATTCTACGTATAACTAAGGTCTGTAATAGATTACTTGAACTTTCTGCATAAAATATCACAATTGGTGAGGTGTTGAATCTGTAATCGCAGTAAAGCAAATCATACGTAAAGCTATGCAGTTGTAATGTTTATCATGCATCACAGTTATAGTCCTATGAACATGTACTTAAGCAAACACTGATCAAAACGATTTCAAAAACTGCTAAGCGCATAGCTGACTGACTCAGTAACGTTCTATTTCCATGCTCAGATGTGATTATGGACGCCAAGATTAATGCAGAAGGCGGACTAAGTCAGAAACGACGGCGGACGCGCACGGCATTCACCCAATATCAACTCAAGACCTTGGAGAATACATTTTCACACACGCACTACCCTGATATTGTGATGAGGGAACAATTAAACATGTGCACAAGCTTGCCAGACTCAACAATACAGGTAATAGTTATTTCCTTAGCCAAGACTGACTATTTCTGAGAGCAATTAGTTGTATGATTGAGTCATTACTCGAATATATGCTTTTGGTTAGCTCGCTAAATTTCAGATTTCTACCACTCGGCTCAGGTCACGTTTTGTTATCCGTTCAGTATCTTCGCTGAATTTTTTGGGGATGGCGATTTGCAAAGGGTGTTCATCTCATTCAGGTGCAGCAACAAGTGCTATTTAATCCCCGCAAAACATACATGCTAATGAGTATGGTACGTAGGGGATTGTATACAGCCCATGGAATAATTAAGCAAACACGAAGCAAAGAAATATTGATCAAGTAAAATGAAGGTGACACCCAATCTCCTGAGATATTTTGAATCAGGTCATTGATATGATGATGTGGAAATTATTATGTGAAGGAAGGAATATCATACATTGTGCGCTATTTAGGCAAGATAATGATCTCTTAAACTAAGCTATTATCCAACATCGTCTTGCAGATTTGGTTTAAAAACAGGAGAGCAAAGTTCAGGAAGCAAAAGACCAGCCCTGTCATCCCTTTCAACAGAAGAAAAAACTTCAAGAACTCAGGGATGCAATTTTATCTGACTCGTTCATCAAGTTTACCGTTCACGCCAACTTTCTCGCCACAAGGAAACACCCCTTCAAACACTGGGCAAAATAAAGACGAGATGCCTCCCTTACCACCAATCACAGCGATGTTACCTACGCTTACATCTGCTTGGAAGCTCGTTTAGAACCCAACGAAAGTGTTTTTTCACCCCCCCCCCAAAAAAAAATATATATATATATATATATATATATATATATATATATATATATATATGAATGAATGAATGTAGGGGTTGAGTCTACCTTGGCATAAAGCAAGTGCTCAATGCTGTGGTAGTAGAATGTATAATTTGTATATATATATATATATATATATATATATGTATATATATATATATATATATATATATATATACACGAAAAAGTTAACGTAAAACAGCAATATTTGATGATCGAGCAAATTCAGTGACCTTTAAATGCAATCAGGATGCATGTTCGTTTAATTTTTTCATACCATAGTGAATACGAACAAAGTTAATATTTCAGTTCTTTCCATCATCAAGAAGTAAATTCTCCAGTTTAAGTGTGCAATGACCAGAAATGTTAATGACCCAGAACATACTATTATGTTCATGTGTAAATCACCAACAGCAAATTTACGTTTAAGAATTTATTTACTGTTTAAGTTCTTAGGGCTGATAGGCTAGAATGGTTGATCTGAGTGAGCAGCTTAAAGAAAGCAACTTTTATGAACTGACTGTCAAAATACTTCGATACTTAAAAAAGATTAATTACCGTTATAAAATTTTCTACTATTTTACGAACAGTTGCGAATTCTTGAAATCATCTTATCCCTGTATCATCTTTCCACTCAAAGGTTAGTTTGTGCTTTCATGTTCCTGTTTTAACTTGTGATATTCTAATTTTGCTATCTTTGCTGACCTTTCGGACACCTACACTTTGTCAATAAATATCAATAGAGAGCTGACTTGGACCGATAACTTAGTAAAAGGTTTTTTGCTCGAAATGCTATAAATTTACTCGCCTCCCTTCGCGTTGTTTTCAGATCTTCGGTAGTTATTGAGCCATTCCGACTTTCCGTTAAACAAACTTTAAAAATAAACTTTGTAACTTTTTTGGCTTGACACGGCAAATAATTTATCATCAATCGCAGCCGAAAGGCATGGATGAACAATCTCCATTTTACACCAAGCTTCATAATTTCCAGATTTACTCGAAGAGCACGAAGAAGAGTTAAAAAAGAAGCATCATAGTTAATCAGAACTGACAGCACCTCTTAGTTTTATAATTTTGCCGGTAGAGTACGCTGAGTAGCTGTCTGACCTCTTGTCTATTTTTCAGCCACGTAAAAATTGTGAACTCTTCGTATTAATCTTATTTCTTGCTCGAAATCTTTGTAATTGCCTCCACGCTCCTTTGTGGTCAATATTAAAATATTTTAACAGTTTCCCAAGTAAGAGCAAACGTCAAGCAAAACTTCACTCAACGCACAAATAATCAAAAGCAATATCAGTGGGGGTGTTCGTCCGTCTCACCATCTTTACGATAGGTTTCACCCATCCCTCCTCTTCGCGCGAAAACACCACCGACAGACCATCTTTGTAGAACACTTAGAGACTTCACAGAGACCACGATGAAAGCTAACTTAAGTTGTTATGGCATATTTCAGTTCAATTTCCCATTGCTTTGACCTTACTAATACTAACAACTAAGGATGTCGTCGCTATGGGAGAAACCTGACCAAAGCTCTCAGAAACAAGAAAATGAGCTAAATTTCGCACAGGTTACGATTCTCTTTCACAAAATTAATACAAATATACTTTCGTATTTTTCTAGAGAGTAAATAGCTAGTTTTTTGTGTACATTGGGAATAACAAAATGATCGTTCAGATCACTGAGGGCAAGTCTACTGAGTTCCACGTTGTTTTGCTTCATTCTGTTTCCGGTTACAAGAAGGGCTTAATCCTATGTGGTCGGTGTTAAATTCAATGAGACACATTGCATGGCAATTTACGCGATCGGCACTCAACGGATACGCCGTTTACCAGGGTTTCTAACACTTAACTGATTTAAAGATATGATTCACCAACAGGAAAGCCTTCACCCCCGCGTTTCCAACCAACAATTTAAAGCAGAAATCACTCCGTGGATTTTCACACCCTCCCCTTGGGGTAACGAAAATGAGATTAACGCAATCCTTTGAATATTTTCAAAACCTTTAAGGCGATAATGAACACTTAGGGAGTGACGTTGAGCCTTTGAGCAGCTTTGACAGTAACTTTTTATGCGAATAATGAATGCGAAGTAGTAGAGCTCGAAGCTTGGGAGCTTCGATACAACGACACCTCATTCCCTGTAAAGCCAGTAATGAAATCGCATGATTTTCGCCGCATGCAATATGCGTTTCCTGTCTGCTAAACATGCACGTTGATCACAAGTTAAACAGAATCACATCAGCACATTAAAAATGGACATGGGCAAAGTTGAAGTGGCCGACACGCTTCTTAACCCTATTAACATGTACTTAGAAATTGGACTAAAATATTAACATAGAACAAAGTGTTTTCGAGCAAAGACCTTCTAAAATGCCCAAAAAAATTAACTAGCACACTAAAAGTTATGCAATAGTCCCTCCACCGTTACGTTTTGTGTACACTATTCCAATTACTATAATTACGTTCAACGCAGGAGGTCGCTGACAAAAGGTGAGAAAACGTGACAGGATATTTTTTTTCTTTTCCCTTCACTGTTCCCTAAAGAAAGAACATGGCCAAGGACATAACAAAACGACGTATACTGAGAAGCTTAAGTTCAATATGTTTACAAAACATCCCTGTTTTTCCTAGCACTTCTCAGAAAAAATATTCACTCTCCATGTTCCATTCCCATTAAAAGGGATTAGAACATAAGCTAAATGTTTTGAAAAGCGAGTAATGGCTTCCAATAAGGATTCTTTTCTACTTCAATTATGCACTTCTGTGGGGGACCTAAATCGGTGCTTTTCATTTCAGTACAAAACGTCAACAGTTCACTAAAGAATACGTTTATTACAAACTCAACCAGTAGAGAGGAAGGGAAGAGAGGGTTAATTCTCAACACAGTGCAAAGCCTTTAGAAAGTATATAATATTTGTTTTCTTTGGAACACGCAAAACTTCTCAAATGACATTATTTCGAAACGTAACTCAGGAAGCCTAAATTTAATGGATGAAAAATTGCATACAATGGTATTCAAAACCAGTGGATAACCGGCCCATACAAAAGTGTGATTTACGGATCAGTAATAGCTCCCGCACAAAAAGATTGCGCTAATTGGTTACCACTACAATAACTACCTTTAGGTGGGGTACAGTCCGTTCTAATTAAATTACCATCAATCACGACGACAGCTCGGTACTTTCTTGTGTTACAGAAGGGAGATTTGGATCACTAATCAGTTGCATCTCTTAGATAAGTCACATAACAAGCATACGACTTCTACTGTGCACAATTTTTTCTTCATTACATGTCAACACTGGAGTTTTAGAAGTACTTTGCTCAAAGGTATGACCTTTTTTACGCTCTTTTCGAAATGGTGGTTAAAGAACTCGATATGCGAGCCTCACGGATTGAATAGTCCTGCTTTCCTGAGTTATAAAAGTTTCATCTTCCGACTTCCTGATTTTTGTAATGGCGCTAAATCAAGTTAACGTAAGCTTCATGTTTTATACCTTCTGCGAAAGGTACGCTTGTGAGCAAGTGTTCCTATTTTCTCTTCTGTTTTACCTCGCTTAAAGAGGCCAAAATCCATCTCCAGGCTCGATAACTTGTTTATATAAGCTTATCATATGAAACAATGCAATAATTCTTGAATTCTGAATGGCCGAGCCATGGGAATATTACAATGTGGCCCACTTAGTAAATTGTATACAAAATAATCGCATTAAAATACCGTTTAAGACCCGTTTTTCACAATTTAGGTGCATTTTATATTTATTTGTTGGGTGAATGCCGCAACTGGTATTTTCATCACTATAACACTATTTTATTGTGGAAGAAAGCGTCACTCTCTGGATCATACAAAATACCTGGCGATCATTCATTTAAACTTAAGACAAATTAAGAAAGGAAATTTCGGATTTCTTGCTTAACACAGAAGTGGAAATTATCACAGCAGGCAAAAAGCCATTTTCCCAACGTGACATTTACCAGACAACTTGACCGAAGTAACAAAAACCCGCACGACACCTCTTGAGATTAAAAATCCATGTGATGTTCTCACAAAAGCATTAACATTAATCACTAGTTCAGTCTCCTCTTATTGTATTTTCCAGTGCGGCTACTGAGAGGTAAGCAACGTTGACCGTACTTTATCGTTGATCTGAAGTAAACGTCACACGATGGACTTAACATCATCATTTTCAATCGACAATATATTAAGAAGTAATCCATCTTCGAGAAATGCCAGACAGATGTTTGATGAACCGAAGGCACCGCAGGCTCTCACATTAGCAGAGCGCTTGGCAGGTATGTTACTAATACTTTTCAGTCTATTTTGCTTCGATTGAAAGACCCTAGATAAATCATTCAGTTGATTTAATGATAAGTGCAGCAAATCGAAATCTTTCTACTGTAAGCTCTTTACGACTCTTGATTCAGAGCTACTGGGTATTCAAATACTTAGACCATAAACAGAGCAGCGACTCCAACTTCTAGCAACTGGCGAACGACGACCACACTTTCTGTAAACAACTGTCCTCGGCTTTTAAAGACCACTGTTTGTGTGTTGATCGAAACAGAAACCCAGAGACCCAGAAACAAAGACTGTTCACCAGAAGGATGGCCAAATTACGTCATTTTACACCTCTTAATCTTTGCCTTTTCCTTCAGAGAAAGACACTGGCAGTGCATCGTCACATTCGAGTAGCAGTAATCATGAATTGTGAAGAAGCACATTTTCACAAAATTCCGAGAAGTTTCGACAATTTCCGTTTTCCGAACATTTCTCATATCGTTTAAGCTTTATACCTGTTTATCTTCAAAATTTCAAAATGTGACATTTAACCTCTTCACAACATGGTATTCCTTACAATTCAGAGGGATTTACCTTTGGATCTACCTTGTCATCACTTTGCAACCAAACATTTTCGAAAGAAAAAGTAATTTAAGTGTTCACATTGCAGATATAATCCTAGAGGTACATTACAGCTCTACAAGGGGAAAACACCGACGTTCTCGCACAGCTTTCACGTATCAACAGCTTCAGCTTCTTGAAAACACATTCACAAAGACACATTACCCGGATGTGGTTATGAGGGAACAGCTCGCAACTTGGACAAATCTTCCAGAGTCAAGGATTCAGGTACTTTTATTTTTTTAATTCAATACCTGCACGGAATAGCATACCCTGAGTAAAAGCGGCCTTCTGCTATTGGAAACGACAAGACCTGAAAGCCCATTTGTAATTAAATTATGTACTCTCAACAAATACAGGGCAATGAGTTTTAGAAAGTGAAAGAGTACACTAGGTTTGTTGACAGAAAACCTTCTGGCTATGGATTTGGAATAGTAAAATATTCTTGTTGAGCAACAAAATATCTTTAAAACCCTACTAATGACCGAAACATATCAAATGAAAAAGTAAAATTACAAACTAGCTCGAAGGATTAAAAACATTTGTTTGTTGGTTTTCGTGCCCTGTGTGGCATGCAGTTTTCGTATGGGAAATAGTTGGTGCTTACATACTTGATTTCCTTTTCGCAACTACGGGATGTCCCGATTTGCTAGACCATGTTCATTTAACTGCTAGGTGACAGCCCTTTTTGATGAAACTCATTCGACAATCATTTATCATCCGGCAGGTTTGGTTTAAAAACAGACGAGCAAAGTACAGAAAGCAAGAAAAAGTAACAAAATTCCCCAAGCCAAGTAACCATAGCAGCATATCTTACAAATCAGATAACCATGTCAAAATCAGCATTCATGATACAACTGGGCGAACTTCTATTCCTGTTCCTCCAAGTATCGCTATTGGTGGGGAGACCCCATCGGCAGAAACAAGAGAAGTAGCGACTGCACTTGGATCAAGAGCGAGCCCTGGACGGAATTCAAAAGAAGCTGCTCAGGTGTTTTCCCACCAAAGACAGCCGTACACTTTTGAACAATATCCTGTTAGGCAGTATGATACTTCCTGGCATTGTTCCATGCCAGCCACATACACATCAACTCATGATTGCTCTCTCCATGGTTGCCGTGGTAACGAAGTCGATACGAGTGGAGGTCAAAAGGAATTGAATTCACGCTGTATAAGGAAACCAACTTCATCTAGTGTTGATCTATGGCGTTCTCAAGCAGGATTACGAAATGGCATTTGCTCAGGTCCTGTCGGCTGCAGGCCGTATTAACCCTTCTATGAATATGACGTTCGCTTCTGTATAACCCTTTTAATAACATGTTTCCGTTATCCTATTACCTATGATTCCATGAAGAAATAACTAATTTGACTGGATAAATGAAGCCATTAAAGAGCGCCTTTAAGTTAACCATGGACACAAACAGACGGAAAAATTGTTCTCTGGAACTATTGAGGTTCCTTTTTCGGTACCGATTTGTTATATTCAACCGGTTAACTGTCACTGAAAATCGTAGAAAATCAGGCTAACATAATTTCATTGCTTGAATGACAATTACGTCTAGGGCAAGGTTTCCGTAGACAAAACTGAAATTTGAAATGAACAATTTGAACACTTCTTGTTTAACCTTCAATGTTTGAAGCTGCGTCTTGTACTGATAAAAGTAGATTAAAATGACCAAACGAAAGAAGAGAAGAGTTCCAAAAAGTTATTCCTTCTGATAAAGATCACTTGAGTTCAGTTAATGTCTTTCTTCTGGCTTTTCTTCATGTCACAATTGTGACAAAGCTCACGGAGACAAAAATCAATCCATGTCAAAAACCGGGCTTTAAAATTTGTTGCGTTATATGTATCTCTTAACCTTTTATGGAAAGTAAAACTAAAATTTTCAAAAGTTTAAAACAACAGATTTCCTCAAAAGAAAACTCCTTAGATCATGGTGTTGTAATTCAAAGTTTAACATTGAAGGTTACACTTTCGTGCCCTCTTGACTGGTTACTAAACCACCTATCCCAACCCCCACCCCAATCCCCCCTCCCTTCACCTTTACCTTTTTAGTGAGAACCAACCACGACTAGGGAGCAAGCTAAATAAGCAGTGGTAAGATGGTTGTTGATAAGAAGTGTACAGGTACATCTTACACCGTAGTTAAAGGAGAAAAGCTAGCGAGCAATGATTAGCAGTCTAGTTATGGAAAAAAAAAGGGAGGAAACGCTTAAGAGAAATCCAACTTTCTTACCTTTCTAGTGCGACATAAAAACACAATGATTTGTTGTCCCAAGGACCCGTCAGCATTCTGAACAACTATTTTTACAAGGCATCCATCTGTTGCGAAAACTAAAACTTGGCATCCATACTTCTGTCATGTGAAAGGCCTAAGACACAGCAAACAAAACAAAGCACATAGATAAATTCGATACATTTCTCAGTGACACTAAGGCATTGTACTCTAGCAGAGATTGTTCAACTGTACTGGCAGACTACATGAGATCTGCTGTAGCAAAAGATCTCATCTACCTACCGCTTAGACCATTTTTTTGTCTCCATCATTTTGCGAACCGTGAAATAGGTTTCTAAGTCGTTCAGTCATGCTGTTTGCAAGCAAGTTAAGTTCACTTGACATTTATTGTGAACATGGACTTTGTTTTCTGCGGTATAAACAGCTCGTGGGCAGATGTGCAAATTTGGAATTACTACAAATAGTACACACCGCTTTATTAAAACGTCCTCGTGCTGTGTTGAATCAAAAATCGACATTTGATCTCTTCAATGAAGCAGTAATGAGACGCCGATAATGTGGGGGAACTTCCTTATTGATATACTCCTAGTGAACAAACCAGCCAAGTTTCCTAAAAACAAATGTGCCAGTAACGCAACCTTATTATCCGCAATTCATCAAACGATAGTTTGCAGCTATCGACCATTCTTAACACGAGCAAGTACCTAAGTAGCAAAAGTTTAAAGAAAACCGGTATACGATGTTGCTGCTCTTGGAAAGGCGCCCACGCTCCACATACTTAAACGTCTTCAGGCGGAAAACAACAGTTCTGACACCAGTTCCGGTAAAAAGCCTCTGCAAGCAAGCAGTGCATCTTTCAACTTAGCTTTAAAAGATGAATATAATTAAAAGTGAGGGTGGATTTCCAGGCTAATCACGATACCTGTCACTCAAGGTTATTAAAGCTCGAGTCACAAGCGTCCACTTGTTCTGTAACAGTTTAAATACAGTGTATGAACTTTGATTAGAAAAAAAGTTAATTGGTCTAAACACCAGAGATTAACAATAAATACAATGTCGCACAGCTTTACTAAATAAAATAGCATTATCCCTTCGCATTTTTCCTGAACGAATAGCATCAGCCCAACAGGTTTCGTTGTAAAGTTTATAGCATGGTAAATAGACATTGCAAATGTGAAAAGGCACATAGGCACTGACATCCTCTTTGGAAACGTTTTTGATGAAACCGTCATCTGTTGTTTAGTAACGAAGCGTCCAAAAGTATAATTTGGTTATTTCATATCAAATCAAGTTACGTTTAGTGCCGGTTCTTGTGAGTATTATTCAAAGGGAAAACCTCTTCAGTATGCATGTGCAATAATATGGCATGCATATTCTATTATCAGCTTAAATAAGTTTCATTACGTTAAGTTCAATTTATAGCAATGTTCCACATATTTTTGTCATTTCCTGCCATAAAAAAATCTTGTGATTGAACAGCTTTGCTAAATCACTGCAACGCATTAGTAGCCCCACCGCGGCATCAGTGGACTTTAACATGAACCGCTGCAACGCTGTCGAAGGTATTTTGAGACTAAACAATTACCTGACATTTAAAGGCTCGCGTCTGAATTTTACATGTACCTTGCTTAACTTAAAGAAAGAACGCAAATTGTAGCCTTTTGGCAGACGCTTGTGACAAATAGATAATTACCTCATCCTTTTAATCTGTGATTTGTGTACATGATCCGGCAAAAATTCGTGATGATGAAAAGGATTAGTAGGAATTTTGTGGTGAAGAAAGCTGACAAAGATTTTTTCTTAATCTTAGTTGACATTTATGTTTCAACATAGCCAGTTGCTCTAGCTTAAACTGACTTAAGAGATACTTTTTCAGATTCAAAAAGCGGACGAAAATCATATTCCATGGCTTTTGCATGTAGTAGGATAAAGTCTTCCTTTTCTTACCGCATAGTATCAAAGGCATCAAAGCGAGGGAACTGTCACTTGATCACTCAGAATTGTTTTATGATTACTACACATGTGTCTGCAAATTCTCTTAAAGAGGATTCAAAGTTGTTACAAGGCTTTAATATTCAATGGACCATTTCCTAATCCTATTTTGAATTTCGGAGTTCGTGCTTTTCTGAACCGCAAAATACTCGGAGAACCAAAGGAAAAAAATTACGGGAAGTCCAGCCCTTCGAAAGTGACAGTAATTAATTTTCATCAACTGTCACTGTAAATATTACGGTTGGCGTTTAGAGCAAGGAATCAAATAGGAACGAGGACATTAGAATTCATCCTAAGTTAAAACGAGATGCACAGTTTGGCAGAGGCTCATGTAGGGAGCCCGCATGGAAAATATGTTAAATGCAAAGCACTTAACCCTACATACTGATGCGGCAAGTATAGTCAGGTATAGTCGGACGAAGGTCAACTCGATAGAGTTAAATACATATTTTAGTGACCTTTAAATATCAAGAGGGCGAGCACAACCATCTTACGACCGCTATCAATCAGAACGCGTACACAGACAACAAAGGCTTTCAGATAGTACGATCAGACATAACAATAAGTGCAACATGGTTCGCACATCATCCATGATCGTTTTCAGTGATCCTCTCTCTAAATTCGGTGATACTCACCTAACACAACGAAAGTAAACAAGTTAATTTTCTTCAGCGCTTTTTGAGAGGATGAACAAAGCAACTCATCACCTTTAGGTGGGGCAACAATTAAAGAAATTAACTTGCCATCAATCACTGACACCGTTGTGTTTATACGAAAGTTTGAGAGTTAAGTTTTGGCCAAATACGTAATAACAGAAAATCCTCTTCATGGCTTTATCTCCATCCCTAAAAAAGAAAATGTACCACTAAACGAACTGTACTTACTGTGCAACTACTAAAAATCTAGAGAATTATAGACAACTATGAGGAAAATGACGTTTGTAGTGATACCTTAGAATCATAGTATTGAATTCGAGCCAAGAGTTGGGAATGAAGGCGGAAACCAAAGTAGTTTACGAAACTTTATGTCGTGGCTAAAAATATCCTAAATGAGTTTGGCAATATCAAGGAAAAGTGATGTATCACACTATAGGGGTTGACAAACATAAGACATTGGCACAAATTTAAAAGGTTTCGAGTTAAGGAATTTATTATCTTTTATTATGTAATAAAAAAATCACCTGGAACCCAGCTTAAAAATATTTGCGAAAGTAATAATGAATTACTTGTGATCGTAAGTGTGTGTAAAACGCGACATGATTGTGTACGGAGGTCGATTGCACTTACTTCCTGATAAACAACAAGACCCTCCCATTATCGGAAGATAAAAGGATTCCAGTCTGGTGCACTGACGGCACATTTCAGTACAGTCTGATTTGCGGTTCTTGATCCTTCCTCCAGGGTTCCTTTTCTTAATTTGGTAGTCACCTGGCATGGAAACGAAATATTCACCATTTAACATCACTAATATCCTACGGCACGAGAGCTGTTCTACCACACCAGGTCACCTGGTATATAAGGGTGGCAAAAAACACGAGACAGATAGGCCTATCATCCCGGCACAAATGTCGTTAGCTGACCGACTGGCAGGTTTGTTCACCTCCGTAGTTCTCTTTTTTTTTCCTTAGCTTTTCGAGAGATAAATTTTTCAAGTTAGGTTTATGAACACGATGGGGTCATATTTATTGACCTGCGCTTTGTTAAAAAAAGTTGCCAAATGCGACGACAATGGTGGGTTTGTTGTCATGTAGGCGAGGGCGAAAGAACGCCCAGAAACATTCTTCTCCTCTCGGGTGTCTTTTCATGGTTAACTGGCGATATTTTAGTTCAATCGATCCTAGCCTAATCCTTCCTTTTAAAGAAATTCGCGTTTTCGTGAAGACACAATGTTTTTGCGAGGTACTGGTGACAGGCACGTAATGACACGAAGACAGATCATTGTGTGTTCTTACTGTTTACCGGACCATGTGGCTCATTTTAAAGAAAAGCAACGAAACGGACATAAGGGCATACATTGACACTTAACAAGGTATGTTTTCTCTCTAAATGCAAGAAAGTCATGTCTAATTTCAGCGTCAAACTTGCAGTTTGTTACAGGCACCATACATTTCCGCTGCGAATGTAGAAAGCTGCACTCATCAATACAATTAGAAAGGTCTTCGTATTCTTTATGTCGCTTCTTTGTAACTTTTAGGCACTTGTCGACCGACGTTAACATGAAAATAACTGGTTTTACAGTTATTTGAAAATGTCGGCTGTAAATACACTTTTTGCAGCTTATAAAACACGTTTTGCGGTGTGTCGAAAGTCAGTTTAGAACCTAATAATTACTTGATAGGTGTTACAACCTAAATTAGTTTCCAACAGTGTCGCCTCGCTCAAAGCTCAGCTCTTGTCCAGTGTTGACAAATTCTTCGCTAAAACGTTGACTTAAAACGG